GCTGGCCGCCTTTGGGGAGGGTGTATAGTGTGAAAGGCCGAAACACCCTAGGAACCAAAGGTACACTACTAACGATGCGCACCCAAATTTCACCAGGCTCACTGTTCATGAACTCTTGGAAGTGCTTGCACAAAGGATAGTAACATCTCATCCTGTGTTCTTGGAATCTATATATTTTTTCTCATTCATTCTTACCTGATGACGGTTGCTTGTGTTGCAATCGACGCGTCGTATTCCATTATTATTTGATTTCATTTTCTACGTGACTTTACCGAAAGAACCAAGCAGTAATTCCTGCTGTCACGAAAGCTTCGAATCTAGTTTCATAGCAGAATCATCTGGGCGACTCTTTACATTTTCAAAGTCGAAAGCACCCGTTTTGTTGCAAGAGCATACAAAGAGTCTGTTATTGTCCCTACTCAAAAAAATACAACAAAGAAAGAATAAACAGATTTCAGGCGCAACTGTGCGAGAACACGAGTTCTTGCGTAACTAAGCTTGCAACATTTCATTTTGCCTTGGGTCTGCTATTGTGTAACACCTGGCTGATTAAATTAGTCTGAAGCTCTGTCATGCTGTATTTATTTGTACCCTGATGATGAAAGCTGCTAGGGTGCATATGAAATATAGCAGAAAATAATAATCAACTAAATATCCACGCACATGTCAATCAACTGCCACAATATATCTGGACCACGCTTTGCATCTCGAACTGGGGCAGTGACAAGCGCATTCGCCGCAGAGGCGTCCACGGTTCGACCCCCATTGGCCGCCCTGGTTATTACTCCGGGTAGCAGTAACCACAATGCACCTCCCGCTGCCCGCTTCACACGTGGCACGTTAAAGATCCCGCGACATCATTCGCAACGTGAAGGCCAATTTTTTTTTGCCGGTGTCGTTTTTTCAAAATATCCCAAATTCGAAAAAGATTTGCCCGCACTGCACGTGGCAATCATCCGCACCGTAGCGGCAGACCAATGGTCGTTTGCAGTCCGGGTGCCGCGTCACGCGGTGCCCACAGGGGACAGCTGCCATCGGTGGCGTTGCCCTTTCAACATATACGAGATGTGATGCAAGTCGCTTATCGCGTGGTATCGCTCCGAGACGCTTGAGGGTGTAAAGTGTGCTTCATCCAACACACATCGTTATCATTGCCGTGCTCACACTGACTCGATGGCGCATTAAGGTGCTGCATGCATGACGCTTGGGTGTTCTAATCGGTTTTGAGTGGTGAGCCAGTGAAATTAGTTGCGATCGCATAAAATGCATCCGCTTTGAGATCAAGCGTTCAAAATGTGGCCACTCTCGTTTTCGGTAAGCGCGATATGATGTTGGCCACCCGGGAAGCTGTTATACGCACACCTGCCGTAACTTTGAATGTTGAAATGCAATTGACTGAGATTTTGTGGGTAGTCAAATGACCGCTCTCAAGTTGGCATTGCCCAGGTGCTTTCGTATGGCAGTGGGAATATAAATCTGAGAACTTAACAAATTGTCAGGATAAAGAGCCTCCTAAGTTATACAAATATCGCAAATATGTAGATCGTGCTGGAATGTCTAAAGCATCCTAGAACAGGGAGTATAAAGCAGGGAAGGTATGCAACGTTGTGAAATCCAGCGTATTTCAATAGCGAATTAGCCATATCGCTTGCATGTGTCATTGTACATCAACAGCTTTTCATTCCTTCCTTCCACAGGCCCCAGGATCTTCACATACCTCGAATTCATTGATTCCACGTGTCAAGTGTAATAGGAATTCACGAGCACATTCCAATCACGTTACGGTACTATAGACTTCAGAGATGCATCCTTTTAATGCATTGGAACTTGTGAAAGGGAAATACACGACGTCAATTTATGAATTAGATTTAGATGTAGGGCAGAAGAAACCTGTGCATATGGTTCATCTCGATTAAGCAGAGTTCCGTGGAATTTACAAAACTTCATTGGTTGCAGTTTAGTCATTCAATATGAAACACGACACAGCCTGCCCATTGTATTAGGAATACTTCTCGGAGTAAGGGGTACAAGATCGCCACATATATGTAGGTTGACTGATATGTGTGGAAGCTGTCAACTGTCATGTAGGAAAAATGTATATATAATGTACATATATTTTAAATTTAATTTATACTGTATGCATGACTGATTACGTATAACATCATGGGACCTCCTTTGCCAGTACCAAAATATAAGAATAGGGTTTTCCCCTTTTTTCTGCCAACAAAACTGAAACCTTTTACAAGGAATCATGTCTGCATTAACCACAATACTTGTAGTCAGAATGCAAACAAAAACACACTGATAATATATGCATTATCCTTGAAACTGATTGGTCAGCACCAGACACATCTTTCTATTGAGCCTCGTCTCAAACAGTGCTAACCAGAGGACGTATAAATTATCGCATTTATACGACATTTTTTCTTCTTGGTTCTTTCGGTAAAGTCACGTAGAAGGGAAGTAATAAAATAATAAAAATAAAACATTATAAAATAATTCTCACGACGTTTCGGCCACAACGCAAGCAGCCGTCCTCAGGTGAAGACCAGGTCTGTCGGGGAGACAGCGTCTGAGGACGGCTGCTTGCGTTGTGGCCGAAACGTCGTGAAAATTATTTTATTATGTTTTATTTTTATTATTGTATTACTTCCCTTCTATGTGACTTTACCAAAAGAACCAAGAAGATAAATCCCTGCAGTCACGAAAGCTTTAAATCGAAATGTATACGACATTGTTACACATTTACTGCATTTATTCATTTTAGCTGCAGGTGCTCGGGCGAATACGGTGCGCCTGAACCAATGCACAGTGAGGTTACTTTCATTACTCTTTGACGTTTCGATAGCAGTCCTGAAGCCGATGGCTTGTGTTGCTATCGAAACGTCGTGATCTATTAGCTATTTTTCTATCTACGTGAATTTACCGAAAGAAGCAAAGACTATTAATTCCTGCAGTCACGCAAGCTTCAAATCAAGATTGTTACTTTTATTGCAGAATTACTTTTCCCACGTGGGCTGGCAAAGATAGTACACTGCTGCTCATGCATTTTTAGACGTAAACAGTGGCTCTTAATTATTTTAATGAGCCTTGGCACGACTCTATTTTTTCGTCATCAATTAGTGCATGGGTTGGAAGTTGTGATTAATGATTTTGCACTTTCACAAAATCAGATAATAGATAAAGCAATATATTGACTTTCTCCTAATTGTTGGCAATTACATTTTCTTGAGTAAGTGGTAGTAATTTAACAATTAAATACAATTTTTTGTTCAAACGAAGCCACAGGGGAAAAGCTGCAATGTAGGGATACACTCTATCTAGAATAGTATTTCTTAAGCATTTACACTAATTACGGTGAACACTCAACAGTGTAAATACGCGTTTTTTTCCCTGGATTTTTCTGTTGTGTTGTCACTTTAAGATGTTTCTTGTTCATGTTTTTGTTTGTTGCGGTTGCACCCGAGTCAAGAGCCGCATGGCTCACAGGGTTATACCTGATAGGTTTTTACCCTTTCAACTGGTACATAGGTAAAGGTCTCATAGTGTAAAGGGTTATACCTAATACATGAAACCGAAGCCGTCATTGGCACGCTTCACTTGAGCAGCAAACACAAACAATAAAAGCACCTCACAGCGCTGCTGTGCAACGTTTTCCTTACACCAAAATCTTGCAGGTGTAAGTTCATGCACTCGTGAAGGTGAATACGTGCCGGGCGTGTACCCGCATTAGGTAGCAATGTGAAAAAAAATGATGGTAGATTAAGGGCCAACTTAGATAGAACTTGGGTGGACAGAAGCCAGCGTGACGAATCAAGATACACTTGCCCGCTATGTCAACTGCAGCTCTGGGGGGTTGAGCCGGCGCAAGTCCCAGTGTGCTGTCCATCACACTCCGGGGAGCACCTCTGCAACATGAACAACTGCTGCTGCGCTAACGGGATTTAAACAGCGCACACTGCACACGTTGTAGCCAAAACGTAAAGCATGTAAGGGGCCGTCCATAAATGACGTCACGCACCTAGGAGGGGGGGGGGGTCAGACATTTGTGACGATGTGACGAGGAGGGGGGGGTTGAGAAATGTGACGTCACATCAAAATGCGCAACTTTAAATATAAACAACACGTTCTAGTTAATTAAAGACTTTTAAATGTGCAGCGGCACATTAAATACGCACTATAATGACAATAGTTTAAAGCGATTTGAAGCATGTTTTAATTTGGGGGGGGGGGGCAGAGCGTTGTGACGTCATATTTGAGGGGGGTCTGACTTTTTGTGACGCCGTGTGACGAAGGGGGAGGGGGTGGTCAAAAAATCGTCCAAAATCGCGTGACTTCATTTATGGACGGCCCTTAAGCACTGTAATATGAAATATCATAATTCCTTCTATTTCAAATATTCCGAACGGCTTAAAATTCATAACGTGATATTAAACAAACAACTTTTGAACCCAGAGAAGCAAAAAAAAACTCAATGATACGCAAACATAAGTTTCCCTCGAAACAATGTGCGCTTTTTTAAAAATACGACTAAGTATTGCTTGCAGCAGGTAAACATGGCCCAACCAGTTTCACCGTGCGCTGCATCGCCTCATGTCTTTGGTTGCAGCAGCAGCAGCAGCTAAAAAACACGTGTTGGAACACATGACAAATATTTATAAATACGGCTCGTCAGGAATAGAATTGCTTTTTTCCGAAACTTATTGCTTTCAAACGTTTGCTACAATAAATGTCTGTGTCATGCTCGGGCCTGCTGCTGTTTCGGTTTTTACATTCATTACAATGAAGGCGTTTCCAAGAAACGTTTGCCCTTATATCTAATGTCGTAATATAACATCCAGTCTGCTCAGCGCTATACGTGAATGGAAATGATTACACAGTGGACATTACGTGACAGTGTGTGCACGTTCTCTCTGGGAAAAAAAAATGTATTCTATCGCTACATAAACAAATTGCTGCTGTGTTTTTGGCAAAAAAAACGTAGTGATGAGACTTTTAAGACACAAATACAATTTGTGCACAAATATGTTTATTCTTTGATAATGACACAAAGGTGTAACAATCTGCAACAGCTTACATTGTTTACAAGCTGTCCCGTGCTTACATATCTTAAAATACTGCTTTAAGAAATACTGATAAAGTCTGTGGATGCTGCTATAGCTACAGGAAACTAATACTGTCAACCTCGACTGCCATAACTGGGGGCCTATGCTCAGAGTTGCATATTGAGAATAGTTAAAACATCAATCTAGCATTGTTGAGCTTTACAAACAGTGCTCTGGGATTCCGTTTAAAGATAAAGCATGCAGAGTCTAAATCACTTCATTTAAGTCACAACATGTGGCTTCATGTTCATTACTTATTGCTCTGTCATCATGGGCAACTGTAAAAAGATCTCCCATGATAAACTACTATTGCTATGTATTTTTTTTTCTTCAAAAGCAGGCAGATATATTTTTTTATTTAGTTTTGTCATAACGAGAAAGAAGTCCATGGGGCCAGTACAATAGAATGCATTGTACAGTTTGTATCAAACAGCAAGGAATCGACTTTCCATTTTACCAGTATTTCACAAACTATAACTGACGATGACGTAACATGTGGATGGTGCAAATGCATACAAAATAACTTGGCTTCACTTACCTTCACTACAATGGACAAATCAACTATGATTTAGACTTGGTGTCAATTCAAGCGCCACTGAATCATCACTTAACGATAGCCGTCAAAAAAAGACTTAAGAAAGTAATTCGAAAAAAGAAAATTGTCATTTTTCTTTATATAAAAAACAACCTTGCACAGGTCACTTGTTTGCAGTATAAAACATAACACCCCATTCGTGTTATAAAATGTATAAGGCATTTGTATTGATATTGACAGAAAACCAATGTAAAATATCCTTCAAGAGTCAAAATGTCACTGTTATAGTGGGTTTTGTTTATGTACATTGATTGTACGTTGCACGAGTGCTACTTTTGCCTCAATCATCTCCAGTTATGACCGATTCTAAAATAAAGGTTTAAGGATAAATATCTAGAGTTGATATACTTTCTTTTTTTCTCTCTTAAAGTATGTACAGCGTGGCCATACTGTTCTGGCTTGTTTGAGACCATGAAAAGCTGTAGGAAATGACGAGTGAAAGCATTCGCTATAACTGCTATATAAAAAGACAGTGTAAAGATTTGCGGTGCCTGAGTGTGTCCAATTCAAGCATTTAACATCGTAGCTCTAAGTACCACCAAACTCTATTTAAACGTACCATTTCAGACAGCACAAGAAGTGTAAGCAATTGAGGCATTCAATACCATTTAGAGAAGATGAAATATAAACAATACTTGTGGTATTTATATATGTAACATGTCGACTGGACGAAGCAAAACATAATACTGTGTGTGTTTTTGAAATATACTGGAAACTTTCAAAACTAAAAACTAATATATGCACAAATGCGGATAAACGACCCAACGGTGTTGCTTGTATGACCTCGTGGTGCACTTGAAGTCTCAATATAATATAAAGATGCATCGTTAGAAAATCTACAGCACGTTAGAAATCGTGTGGTTTAGAAAAAAGGGACCCCAATTCAAGTTGATGATGCAATATTCCTACTAAGAGTCAAAAGGGTCTCTCTCTTCACAGTACAAAAACCTTTTTGAAAGGGCCATGACCCCACCAACGATGGTGCCATGTTAGTGTGTTGAACGTAACGGGGGGGCGGTAGTTTCGGACGGCCTTAATTCCTCAGAAGTGGTCAATGAGCACAGAGACGCTGTTGGCGCCAATGTTGTAGTTGGGATCCCCTGGCAAGGCCATGTTATGCCATCTTCTCGGGTCACCTGCACAGACACGTGAGGAAAATGTCACGAAATATTGTGCACGACATTTGTAAATACCACATTACTTAGGACGCAAATAGCAAACCAGCTGGATATATATATGGGATGTTGCATTTATAAGATTATTTTTCTTGTGCTGTTTATTTGTTTAGGCACTGCTGTAAGGGCACATTATGATTACATTCAAATGTCAACTTAAAAATATACACCTCAAGGCACATTTCCATAAAATGTGAATGTAATTACAACATGTTCATATATTTATTTATTTATTGTAAAGTTGCATTGTTGAAACTATAATACATTGTCTTCCTACGAAACTACCAAACTACGTAATGTCAAAATACTTCATTGGATCAATATGCATTCAGGATGAACTCGTGCATTCTTCCGGTACGAATGTGATGTTCTTTGTTTTGGTAAAATAAAAAATACCACAAAAAAATTGTAAACAAATGACTATATTAACTCTGAAAACAATTATTAAACAGCACATTCATAGGATCCTATGAAAGCCATTTCATATCTCAAAAACTATCTTTTTATATTCTTGGTTCTTTCGGTAAAGTCACGTAGAATGGAAATAATAAAATAATAAAAATAAAACATTATAAAATAATTCTCACGACGTTTCGGCCACAACGCAAGCAGCCGTCCTCAGGTGGAGAGCAGGTCTGTCGAGAAGACAGCGTCTGACGGCTGCTTGCGTTGTGGCCGAAACGTCGTGAGAATTATTTTATTATGTTTAATTTATTATTATTTTATTATTTCCATTCTACATGACTTTACCGAAAGAACCAAGAAGATGAATCCCTGCAGTCACGAAAGCTTTAAATCGAAATACATCTTTTTATAATTTAGATGCTCACCAAATATTTTTTTTTCTCGAGGGCAGTGTTTAATCTGAATACGTAGATTTATCTCCAGTGACAAAGACGACATCAGCGTTCTGTTGTATCATATTTGAAGCATGAATTATGATTGAAAACCCACTCAACAACCTCATAAAACAAACCCAATGTCAGGTTTTTACAGGAGGCTATGGGTTATTTTTCTTTCGTATGGGTTATCCATGTAAACAATTTCACAGGGGGAAGGCAATGCGTCTGAGAAATGTATCCTGTGTATTACCTTCAAAACCTCTACATGTAAGGCAAGTAAAACTGTTTGACAGTCGCTTAAAATAGCAATGAAAATCACACAAAAAACAACTGAAGTTCTTGCAGGACCAAACTGCCTAGCAGGACACATATCCTGAACGAACAGTGCTGTCCCATCCATCTGTCCCTATGACATATACATTTTCTCCCTAGCGCACTTATCAAATGCTCAAGTGACCTACATGCATGGAAGGCGTTATCCTTTTCTTAAACTGCATTCATAAAAATACTTTTCACGATCACCAACACAGCACCGCACCTTGAAATGCTTGGTCAGGCTGTGATAATGTATTGTGATTTCTTCTTCTCTTATATCTCCCCCAAGGGAACTTAAATGGCAAGTATGAACCTCTGGCCAAAGCTAAAAACAACCCCAGTCAATGTTTATACAGCACCCATTGGCAAATGGCAGCAATCACCAGATAGACTCGTGCTTTGTGAGAGGTCGTATTGAAGCCAGAAGCCATTGATTTGTCACGACGATTTGCTTGCAGGAAGAAAAGAGGCACTTGCCTTTTTAAAGGAACAAACGAAAGTGTTAATTTTCGTCTTTGTTTCAGGTGATCTAACTTGTGATAGTGAAAGTATCTCGTGTGAGTATAATGATAGAACAATTGGTGACTTTTGGAAACAATCGCACAAGAGCTGCGTAAAAATATAGATACTACTTGGAATATAACAATCAACGGTTTTATATATATATGACATGGATACGATGAGCATAACTATATATTCACACTATGAAGTAAAGATTCCAAAATTCCTGAAGCATGTTTTAATCAAGAAAACAGTATGCTCATGACCTTTCATTACCTAGTCCAATGGTTTAATTTGCATGAAATCATCTGGCGGTCACACCCAGTAATTGAATTTGTGGTGTGACTAGCTGTGAAGGTGGATATTTCTAATATCCAGGCATGCAGTCTCATTACGTCGCTGGGAATAGGAATAAAAGGGTCAACTTAATTGTTCTTTGGAAGTAAAAAAAACTGGGAAGTACACACAGAGACATGTAAATCGCCCACATCCTTTACAACACTTTAGGTTCAACCCCTTAGCCCCATGATGTTGTTTCGGCTGAGGCTTCCCCCTCTACTCATCTTATGGATAAGACTGGTACTTGCCATAGGAATGTGTAATTCCCACTCCTTTGCGTTAGTCTGTTCCTATCAGACCATCCTACTAAGGGTTTGCGCAAGACGACCCTGAATAGATATGTGTAGCTGCAGCTCAAATAGGGAGTGAGTGAACGCATCCTTGCCTGTGATGGACTCGGAGGACTTGAGTGCGAAGGACCAGCCATCAGGGTTCATGGCAGCGCAGTGCGGCAATCGTAGCTCCACAGGCTTGAGGAAGCGTAGTCCATGAGGCCCACACATCACCAGCGGGCTCAATAGAGTCTCGCCTGAGAAGGAAAATAGTCAAATGGCATCACGGTGATCTTGCATTGTAATCATGATAACGCCATCACTATACGTGGGATACCTGTAGCAAGCAGATAACAGTCGACACAAATACCCGCTAAAGTGGTCCGACAGAGCTCCCTCTAGCGGAGTCACTTCTAGTGGCATGAACAAGACATGTTAGGGCTGCACCGTTACTTTACCTGTAGAAAGCCTCCACATTTAAGGGACTAAGACACAGGAGCTCATCATAGATATATTCAAGAATCCATTTGCTATATTCTGCTGTCTCCAAGCCAACCCACAGCCCAAGTCTATAACAACACCTGCGATTGCCAGGCAACCAAGTATTAACCAGACTCAGCTCTGCTCAGCCAACAATATCAGGCACATTCGTTGCAATTTAGATATACAGTATATGGACGAGTTATTCGGTGATACTGCATTGGCAATGATTCACAAGTGAAAGTAATAAACTCAACATATTAGTCAATAGCACTATTTTTTAAAGGAGGTAGAGTTGTGAACAGTTGGGAGACATAAATGTATACCATGGGGCATGATAAGACTTAAAAAGTATGGCAATATTCCTGATTAAAATGTTTTACATAATACACTTAGTAATGCCTTCCTGGGCTCAATTCTCATTTCAATAGGAATACAATTAGCATAATTAACTTAGTGATGCATTCCTGACCTCAATTCTCATTTCAATGGGATTAGAGAAACTCTCAAGGAATATAAAGATATAAGTTATCAAAGGGATTAGCAAACACAATATATTCAATTCCTGATCCTTGAAAGCAGGATGCAGGAAGCAGGTTTACATTTCTTTGGCCCTTGCGGTCCAATTTTACTGAGAAATCAAACGTGCTCCAATAGGCGGTACACTACATATGAACCTAAAAATAGGAAGATGTTTATCTCGCGCTTAATAACACAACGATGTTTTAAGTGAAGGCGAAGCGTCCATTCGGTCCTGCCGTCTGAGCTGTATCCAGTCTGGACATGAGGCAGCCTTCTGTGTCATTTTACCTTGCCTTATTCCCGCCGGCATCGAGACAAGGTTCGCGTCACCGCCGGCATGTCACTGGGGCTATGGTCCCTGCTGTTGAAATGACGAGCCACTGCTTTGGAAACGTCTGCCCCAAGAGCTAACGGAAGATGTGGGGCAAAGCCTTGGCCAAGGCGTTTACCAGTTTTTGTTTTCCCCATTGGAGTAGAGGCCGCAGCGTTTTCACGCGATGCAATGAACCGGATCGGTGGAGGTGCATGTATAAACCCTGTATGGTGAGTCACAAATGATGCTCTGGATGTTTTAATCAGTGTATCGGTTGATGTGAAGACATGCATGTTGGTGCATGTTGCAGGTCTTACTCCGATTACATGGGAAGCTGCGCACAAGCGTATCCCTGAGGTTTTTTGCTTACGCTCAGAGCACACGGAGGCAGTTGCCGAATGTTGGCAGTATTTTGTCACTTCTTATACAGTAGAATTTATCACAATAATCTCAACTCCCACCACCATCACCTTTAATTCACAATATTTCTCACTTGTACATTAGATATTGTAAATATTAAATGTGAAGTGTTTTTCAATTATTAACTGTAAAACATGGTGCAGTTATAATTGCTGTGCTTTTGAGAGAGCAAGCGTTCTTTAAATCACAAGTACATGTGTTTCCCAATTAACTACTTCTAAGTGCATTATTTAACATGATTTGCATGCAACCACTGAATAGATCTATTAATTGATGACTGTAATAACAGACATAAAAGGCACAAGGGGCCCTTTAAGCAGCCTTTATCTCCAACAAGGGATGTATGATTGTGAGAAATGGCCATTTTGTGCCAGATTGTTAACCTAAATGAGCATGGAACAACAACACATGCTCCACAAAATCATGATAATCAATAAAAAAAAGTCAAAATTATGAATTTTAAACCCATGTTGCCAAAGTCATGCGTTGAACCGTTCAATGTTGTTCAAGTTCAAGACCATCAACGACATCAATGTATTAAGTAGAATATTGCATCGCAGCAGTTAGCTACAAATAGACGACTTCAAGGTCATTTAGCTTTTTTGAGTGTAAGCACTCAAAGTGTCACAATGTGACAATTGAGTATTTCCCTGACATTGGTTCACGGTGTAACAACTGCAACGACGAAACGACGTTTTGAACGTCTACACACATCCGTAGACGTCTATCATGTTATTTCAGAAACATGATTAGGAAAGTTAGATTTTCTTTTAATCAAACCTCTTCATCATGAATGAGGCAAGAGCCACGACCACACAGGCCCGTTGCTGTGCCTTTCTTTCAAACAAATCCCTACGTGTGTTTAAATGTATTAAATTCCAGCGCAGACATCGGCAATTTAATATTTGACACATTTGTTGATACCGGAAGCTGATAAGAGATATTTTTAACCCACAATCTCAGCCTGCAGAGATCTGCAGGAATTCCTAGCATATGTTCTCGGAGAATATCAACCCAGGGAAAATTGAAAATATGCTAAATATAATGGATTTTTTTTCGTGTAGGAATATTCAATGTTATAGACGGCATATTGCTGGCAAGTGTAGGAAAATTGAGATCACAAAACCTGCTTGTAATCTTGGAGGAGGTCCAATGCTTTCTGAGCAATAGGAAGTTGGGGGAGTGCCCTGACCTGGACAGAGTGTGTGATTTAGACAGGTCCAGCGATCTTCAATTATTTATATATTTTTGCTCCTCGAAGCATTATTGATATAGGATAATCAAAGCACGACTGTAGACTTGCTTATCCACAATTCCTCGTTAATTACTTTGACCACACAGAGAATATTGAATGAGGAAAAAATAAAATATCTCGATCAAACGTTATGTGTCATGTTCTTCAACTGCTTCAACAGATGACACATTCAAGCTGCATACAGAAAACGATGGTGCATACAGAAACGTAGCTCGTCCATTCGGGAAGACTGCATGGAAGCCACAATGTTTCTGAGTACCCGAGGGCATTCCCCATCAACATATTTGGGCCACAGTAGGACATCGCCAGACATCATTTGTCAACATCAAAACAAATCCTGCGGACGGTGGCATTAATGCCGAAAAATATTCCCCATCTCCACTGCTCTTAAATCCACGAATAAGCCACGGACGGAAAGAGACGGACGGAAAGAAATCACCTTTCTCTTTGTCGAGTGCAGGGATGATGCTGTTGTCCTGGCACACCTTGAAGTAGATCTCCTGCTCCAGGCCTTCAGGGATGGCCCCGCGTGGCACAACCACACTCACTCCGGTCTCCACCGAGCTCAGCACCCCACCATTGCTGTCGAAGACTCCTCTCGCTGTTGCCACCACCGAATGACCTTCCTCCTCCGATAAGGCACTGGGGCTGCCCAAAGAAACACGGCACATCAACGACGGTACACATTAGCACCGCGTTCCTTGACCAACCCGGTGTTCATGTCGAGGGGCGGCGTGAGACCCCGAGTGGCGGCTGCAAGCGTCCAGTCGATCGGTCTCGTCACGCCCGGCTGCGTCAGATTGAGATGGACGTGGAGCCTTTCTGCTCTGGAGGAATGGACCCCCTGTGAATGACTGGCTTGGGTGGAGGGAGCTACAACCCTTTGACGGTCAAAAAGCAATAAGCCATAGTAGTGGTCCCAATTTGTTGCGTGTGACTCTGACCCCGACAGCTTCTTGGAGGATCACGTTTCGAATCCAGTGACCGCCCTAATTATTACTGTGGGCGTAATGACCACGATGATAGGCGCTTTTCTACTTCACAGTGGACATTAAAGACCCCCCGATGTCATTCGCCAAGAGTGGCAATTGTGTGCCAGCGTCATGGGTCTAAATTTGCCACATTCGAACACGAGCCTGCAAATGACTAAATTGATATTATACATAGCAAATCACCGCACTCTATTGACAGACTAATGGCCCAGGGTCAAAATTGAAAATGAGACTGGAATCGTGTCTAACCGTGCGATGCAGCCTTAAAGAAGCGATTGGGAGAAATTGCTAGTGTGTGGGTCTGCCAGTGCTTTCTCCCTAGTAACAGCTGGCAACCTCTCAATATTTGTGAAACCATTACACTAAATTGCTGTTTTCTAAAACGTGAGCAGTAACAGTAAAGCGATATGATAAAACCACGTACATTTACTGCAGCTGTCAGAAAGCATGGGCAGGCTGCATACGACTGCCTATAGAAGATTGCTGAATTAAGAGATGGATGGAAAAAATACTTATTTGAATCTGAGATTATTCAATTATTTAATGGTAGCTCGCGATATTAGCAACGCTGGACACTGTGTTTACTTGACACTTAGAGAAATTGATTTGTGCCGAACTCTGGAGCCACAGCTGCACACCTGATGCCCAGACGTGCATAGCTGTGCACACACATACACCAGTCAGTTTAACACGTAAGCTTTGACGACCAATATTATCCATAATAGAGGTTATGGACACACACGAGTGCATACACATTTACGTGTGTGTGCATTTACAGGCACGTAAACAAATAAATCCAGGTTTACTTATTTTTTGGCAAACATTCCTGAAATAAACTCCGTAAAAACATCACAGGCTTTAACTGGGATGTTTACTTTCGCAGAAATATAAAGTGGGCGATGGTAGGGTCAGATGTCAAAGGCTACATTGAACACTGTGCTACGAGTACGCAAGCACTGTATTGTTAACGTAATTATGAATTTTGATTTGCGAAGTTCACAGTTTATTTCACGAGACCGCTCGGTAGGCTCTTGTTCACCAGATACTTCATATTGGGTTAGAGGTTTATGTGTTGCGATGGTATAGCAGCTATATATTAAAATAATAAAATCCTAAAATCATTACATGTCAGATTTCTGTGCTCACACACAAATATACCACAGGCTGAATTGCCAAAAGTAATGCTGCATATGAAAACAATTTCTGTTCATAGCCGTTTTTCACGAACAATATACTCGTTAGGGGTGTACTACCATTCATCAGCTTTTTGATATAAAAATCTGAATCAGATGAGAAAATCAGGATCATAATGTGAATAAAGTATATTTTTTAAATGGTTGTAGGGAGTGACTATTTGATTCAGAAAGTTATGTTTTTGGTCTGATAGTTTAGCATTAGAATCGCTGGAGCATGCATAATGTCACAATTTGATTTGCAAAAAATATATAATTATCGTTTTGCATTACTTATTGTCGAGACTGCGGGAACAACATTTCAATTAATGAACTCATGTCAATGTTGTTAATTACATAGAATTTAGAGAGGCTGCAGGGGTCCTAAATCAATTCACAAGTCAACAGCACAGTGGTCCAGAAGCAGTTCAAGAAGGGTCGCACAGTTCAGATATTACCTATTACTGATGTTAGCCATGGCCAGGAATCAAACTCAAGTTACTGGGTTCATAGTGCAATGCGTTGACCACCGTACCACCAAAAAAAATGAAAGTAATTTCCTGCTCCAATGAGCATTGAAGTGATGCTCATTTCCCATTTACAGACCTAAGCTTGTGGTAAAAAAAAATCAACATTGCTATGGTGGGGACAAATCTATCCATAGGGCAACCACACTGTGATACTCATTTAACCGACCCCGGAGGGATGATGGGTTGAGTCGACACCCAACCAGGAGTTGAACTCATAAACCTCCTATTGCGAGTCGCTCGCTCTACCACTTGAGCCACCTGGCACCACCGTTTCCCCGACATACGCTCTTCTTTATAAAGGTAAAACTATCAAATCAAATATTTTTTTAAAAGTCTCTAATGCTTACATTTTAAAGGTGAACATCAACCATCAAAATCCATAAAAAGCACATGTGACATTTCACCTGAGACACTTTGATGCCTTTTAGAAGCTTGCCTTTTTGAATATTTCACTGACTGATGCAACACTGTTATTTTCCCATTACCTTTATCTTTTGAATAAAATAGTGGAGACGTTCATGAACCTGTAAATGCCGTCATTATCACGCCTCTTCTAATGAAAGCCTTTATTACGTGAAGGCAATTAATCTACTTCTTTGTTCGTGTTAAATTATTAAGTGATGGACATCGAGCGTTTGAGATGTGAAGAGACTTCAAAAACAGTTTGAGAAAATTACCATAACAGTACGTGTCGATTCAAATGCATTACTTTTCTAAATAGTTGTCTCGCATAGACTTGAGATTTCCGCAGCCTTGACTTCTAGTTCATATTTGATCTTTAATTCGGGTACGGCTCTGTGTGTCACTTCATCACCGGTTGTTGCTTCAGTCGCCCCTTCCCTTCCACCCGGTCTCCGTAGACCACAAGGGTCAAACAACGAATCGGGAGTGGGAATGTAACAAGATGGTAAATGTTCCCAGTGAGTACAGATGAAAAAGCTCAAAGATTGTGACCGCTTCGTGTATACGAGGCGGTGTCATTGACGAATGCGCTGAGTTTGTTTTGGTCAATAGTGCTTGTGCACCATTGCCAACATCACCTAGTAAATAATTTCACTGCGACCATGTGGCTCGCGTAGCAGAAGCAGCAGAATGCCGCTGTACAATTGGCTGTCGGGCACCAGCAACATCAGCAGCAACTGTGCTGCTGATGTTGCTGTCGCCGTACAATCTACTTCTGCGCTGCAATCTGCTGCTGTTGGTGTTTTCGTTGTATATCCCGCTGCTACATATCTGCTGCTGCTGCAACACAAGCCGCCTAGTCTATGTGAAGCGGTTTAATGTGATGTTGACGTGTTGTTTATGATTATGGTAGTGATGAGTATGTTACTGGTGATGACAAAGGTGATGATCGTGGTGGTGATGCCTGTGGGTGATGGGTGTGGTGAAGTATGTATATATGTTGAACTTCTTTCACACCGTACATAGCCAACCGTGCTAATTGGAGGTGCGGGGGAAGGACAACAAACTAAACACAAAATCAGTTCTCAAGAAATGAGTTTCCAATATAGATTAAAAAGTGCATAAGCTCCAGTGGTTTCCTAATATAAGAAGGAAGAGCATTCCAGACGACAATTGAGGGGTAATGTTGTTGACCATGATGGTGGTGGGTAAAGAAACCAGCGGTAGTAATTACAGTGGTTATGACAGAGAGTCAAGCTATGATGTTGTTGATTGTGATATTGTTGATTGTGGAGATGACGATGACTGGTAACATTTACCATCTTGCTACATTCCCAATTCTACTTTGTTGTTTCACCCTCGTGGTCTACGGAGATCGGGTGGAAGGAAGGCGACGACGTTATCGAGAACTTGAATGTAGTCATGTTACCGTGATAAGTAGTGTTTAAAAAGTAGCATGGAAAAACTGACATTCATAAACATATCTGAATGCCCACTCACAAAGGTACTGCAAAAAAGAAATTGCAAAAAAGCCTAATATATTCTTGTGATTTTACACGTTTGTGTAAATCTGACAGTAACGGCAAACAAATGTTGCAGCCGACATTGGGCGACAGTGTAAGTGACGTATGTGAGCTATTGTATTTGTTCATGACCGGTTCTTATAATAACAAAATAATGCAGTGCCTGTGGGAACATTATAACATTATCATATGGGGTAAAAAATTAAATTCTATATACATTCGGTATTTGGCAAACAGTGGGCGAGTTTAGAGACAGTTTTTTAATGCAAACATTTATTATAGATGTATCGTAGGAACGAGATACCACAGCAATCTATCACGAGCCGTATATTTAATTAACTGCTACACAAGCGGTTATGCAGCCTGACTTGGCAATCGACAGCCATGCGGTAAAGCTGCTATTCATCTGCGGTGCATCGTATATCGTACATTCATCTGCGGTGCAGCTGAATATACGATCCATCATCATGAACCAATAGCCAAAGTAGATAAACAACTAACATTCTCCTATTCTGCAATATTGCTTTTAATGCAACTCAAAGCAATTATATTCCATTGTAAGTGTTTTATTACAAACTTATATGGGTGCTGCATTTCTGTGATGTGACGATGCCAAATGACACATTCTTTGAGGCAAACCACAATAAGACTATGGCGATTTGCACGAGTTAAAAGTCCAGAGCGTCGTGCTGTAATATGCAGCATCAGAACACATGTAGAGCTTGTGTATTATGTAACAATCTAGCCCATTTCAATTATTAGTATTTTTATTTATTTAAATTTAAGCTGCCCAGCAAAGGATTGCAACACTGCTGTTGGCCTTTTGAATTAAGTCGACTGCCTTGAGTGAAAAAGGTCATCAGATTCCCTGTCATGCACCGTGGCCTCATTACATTGTAGGCCTTCTGTTTACGCAGGTCTTGTTGCACTGCATGAATGATCATAAAAACAATGAATAATAAAGTGTTTGTGATTGATAACAAAGAGGGAAAGACTCCAAGTGTTTCACAACCGATTATAGAAGCCGAGGAATGGCAATTTCAAGTTGGTTTAAAACTGCGCAACTTTCACAAACGTCTCCATCAGAAGTTACTCCAAAATTATTTGCATAAACATTGTTTACGTAAACAAATAAACCAGTATATAATAACATAGAACACTTTTGTTCGCTCGATGTATATTTCATTGATCTTCTATGACCTGTCAACCACTTTAATTTGATCGGAGTGAAAATTGCAGACTACTGCAAATATACTCATCATTAGGAAACAAGAAGTTATAAACATTTAGTTTTAACCGTGTGAAAAACAATGCACTTAAAACGTAATTCTGTGTTCACACGAGTAATGAAAGTAATTCCGTATGAAAGTGAAACGTTGAAAACTTGCATTTAAAGAAAATATTTAGCTACGAAGTACATATAAATACGATTTTGCTGTTAAAAACCTTGCAAATACAACCACAATCAATTTGAGTGAATATACTGTACTTAATGGAGTCGCTCGTATGTTCATAATCAAATGCTGCACTTGCGAAAATCAAATGAAATGTAAAATAGCAGTCTTGCTACCCTGACCAACTGGTACGTATGTCTGAGTAATGAAGAACAGAAGCCAATCAATCACCAATATCAGTCTATAGACTTGACAAAGACTGAAATTAATTGATCAGTTAAACAAGCCACATTCGGGTCAGAAGACAGATGATTTCTTCGCAAGTTAGTTGGCCCATAAACGGACATACAGTAAAACCTTGGATTGCGAGCATAATTCGTTCCGGAAATGTGCTTGTAATCCAAAGCACTCGTGTATCAGTTGTGATCACGTGACGCTCGGCAAAAAAAGCGTATACACGTACTACTCGTATTGCAGGACCTCGCTCGTTTATCAAATTAAAATTTATTGTAAAAAAATTGCTTATCTTGCAAAACACTCGCAGAACAAGTTACTCGCAATCCAAGGTTTTACTGTATAGTATAATGAAAACAAGAGCTGTGGTGCCTCACATTGGTTCAGCTTGTGAATTTCAACGTGCAATTTTAAGTAGTGAAAGTAATGCCAACGAGGTATCCGGAGGACAACGACGTGTACCGACGATTGCGTTACAACCTCAGGCTAAACTACCTTTACCGTACCTGTCAAGCCATACTGCCCCGTATTATTGTACAGGGAAATAGAGTTTTCAGTTCCATACGGCGTACAGCCGATTCAATAAGGGCCACATGGTTTTTGTCCCTTGTGATGGGACTTCGTAGGATGAACGTTGAGATTTATAAGGAGCACGAGGTGACCAATAAGGTCTGAATTGGTCTGTAATAAGGTAGGCACTGATAAGGGGTGCCTTACGTACTTTTCTGTGCACTTTATGATGAAAAGAGACCAAAGCCAACCAGGCAATAGAACAAAGGGAAGCCATTAAAAGAGTTCAGTGCACGACTAATTCCAGGATAGCTGCTATATTAAGAGAGAAAAATGAATAAAGGTCTTTCATCATGCTAAATAAACACATGTTATTTTGCATGAATCGCTATAGAGTAGCTGCCACGCATGCAATTTAGGTGGCATTTTTGTTACGAATACTCCCAGGCAGTCTGCAAAAGCTAAATGACAAACCATAATGTGCTGTTATCAACATGATGATATGTAAAGAGAAGAGGGTCATTGTTGCAGAATGTCAAAGCGTAATAATGGCTTGGTTCGAACACAGTTCATTTTCTCCAACCGTGTTCATTAGTCTAATTAAAAGTGCCTTAATCTTATGGTTTCGGCCCAGCCTAACATTCATGTTGTGACCTACAGCATCCACCCCTGAGCAGGTGCATGACATTCAGCATATATTTAGTCATTAAAATAGTACAATTACCATTGTAGTATGCGGGACTCATTACTGTGCCATTGCATCTTTTCACATACATTCTAGCCTATCCCTAGAGAGTTTAGGTTATATTTCACATGTAAAAAATTGCAAATTATTAAAAATATATTTATTGTTCGTTTATGTACAGCTTCAATGACATCCAATATTCCAACCCCTAGAATTATTTTTTGAAAGAAAAAAAAATCCTGCAACATTTGTTCTAAAACACAATTTTACATTTTCAAACGCTATATTATTTAAACAATGGACTGTACTACATTTGCGCCATGCGCACACCACATTCGCCACGGCACTTTCAACAAACACAACTGCAGACTACGGCTTACGTGAGACTCCACAGCTAGGTAAATAAGGTAGTCCCATTGGGAACTGTAATGTCGTTTGAAACTATAAAGTGTTCAATATGTTAAAAGAATGATCCAATGTTTTTGGGGCGAACTCCCCTTCCCCTGCCTGCCCCCCCCCCCACCATCTCTTTCAGGTCAATGGAAATTAAATTGCGCAAGACGGCGGGAGCTCAATCAAGATGAGAGCCACATCCATCTTCATTGCGAGGCCGCTGCGCAGTGCTCCAAGCCCAAAGTCCCGACATCGCTCCAGTGCCGATAAACATCAGGGAAATGGAGCTCCTTGTGGGGACCCGGCCAGGAAGAAGGATTGCCATCGATTCCCGCTGCTCCCTAAAGACGTCGCGGGCACAGTCTGCCTGCAGATTGATTGATCACAAAAGGTCTGCTCGTCATGTAGCCTTAATTACCTCTGATGATAAAAAGAATAATACGGCTTGTAAGTATGTATGTATGTTGAACTTCTTTCGCACCGAACGTAGCTAACCGTGCTAACTGAAGGTGCGGGCTTCACGCTCCCAAGGACTCACATGTGCCTGTCGAGTGCCGAGTTCAATGCGGTCGTAACAGCGTGAGCTTGAATTTTAAAACATTTGCAAAAAAAAAAACGAGCGCATACGCTTAAATCTGGGCTAAGTTGTGCAGGAACGATAGATAAAACTCTTCACTGATTGTATTGCTTTATAGAAAAAAAAATCACGTACGCCGAAACAAGCAAGCTGTGGTTAATTGTATTTCTTTCCCCCCATTATACATCTGCATTCAAGGTGCAGCATTGCGAGGGCAGTGTTTTGAAGTTACTTTTAAGAGGCGACAAAATATCGAACAAAATTACTGAAGGAAAAAAAATGTACGTTCTACTTTGGTAGTGTGCACAAAATGTGCAATGCAGTAGTTTTAAGCCGGAGTCGGTGTATTCTGATTGGTCAGTGCGTCTCAGCTGCTTCAGGCCTTGGGGAGCTGAATACAGCCCGTCCTTCACCATCAGTCAATACATCCCATTACATTATAAATTGCATGTGCATAATGATTATTAAATATTCATGACAATCATTAAGTGTATAAAAAATATATATACTAACTTGAAAAGTCTGTATTCACATGCGCTGAATAAATTTCTATTTGAGGAATTTGAAAAAGTCAATATGATTTGTGCTTTGATAACTCGTTCACGTAATTATCATAATCATGAAAGGACGCATGGTTGTTCGGCCCATGGCTCGAACCTCCCCATGATGAGACTGGGATGGTATATTAAAACCAAGCAATGTTGCTCATAAATGATCATGTCTAAGCACAATTGGTTCGAAGGACATGGCAAAAATGGACATCCCCACTCCTTTCAAGTGACCATTAGCCTACTTTTCAAGACCGACTACAGAGGCGTGAATAGACGGAGCACTAGAAAGCACCTCGAGGGTATTTTGGCCTACTCTTCCACGGTGGTCAGTAGATCAACAACTGTTGATCTACTAACCATGGCGTACCATAATATAGATTTTGTTTTGGGTAAGATCGCGTAAATATCAATGTGTCCTAAACCCGCCACCACCAGACACAACCAACTAGTAAGGTTTGTCACGTAAACAGAACATGCCAATTCATTACTAGCAAATCCACAACATTTACACTCTGAGCATGGCGTTTCACCAATGGGTATATAACCACACATTACCCCACCACAATCTGGACCACAGTAGCTAACATGTAAATGCATTTTGCCTTCTTGTGATTTACCCAATGCCTTTTTTGTACCGTTTGTGGATGTAACCTTCTGACCTGCCCCCAATGGACATCTGTGAAAAAGAGCTTCATAACTCAAAGCATTTCCACAGAATAAATAAAGATACTGACTGTGCCTTGATTGAGTGCAGCGTAAGGGCACCCACCACGACCACCAGCACGACGAGCACCGCGCTACCTAACAGGGATGGCTTTGGGATTAGCGCTCAGGCCATAACTAAATAAAGATTCCGATTCTGCCTTAACAAAGGTGAGCGCAGAATGAAGGCACCACCACCAGCACCCCCGTTACCTGACAGGGATGGCTTTAGGAGTCGCATTCAGGCCGTCCAGGTGGCTCTTTGGCCGGTAGTCGCCGTGCCGCGGGAACGTGTCCGTGCCGCTGTCGAACTCGTGCTGCGACGGCGCTTGCGAAACCCCGACAACCGCCGCCGCAGCCGCGCCATCGCCCGCACGCACCGCCCCCTCGGGCAGCAAGTTGTGCGAGAACTTGGGGCTGTCGAACCTGCGCTGGAACGGCCTCGCCGCTCCCGTGTAGCCGCCCCCGGAGGGGAAGCGGGCGGCGAACGGCGGCGCGAACGCCCTCGTGGGGTTACCGCTGCTGCCGCCGTTGCTGCTGCTGCTGCCGCCGCTGCTGCTGTTGTTGTTGCTGGTGGCCGGGTGGCGCGCCGCGGCCGTCACGGCGTACGTGGTGGCGCAGGCGCCGCCGTTCGCCGCCAACACCTTGCCATACGCGGCCGCAGGGGGCGCGTAATGGCCGTCGTTGCTTTGCGACGGTTTTGCGTGAGCCGAGGCTGGCGGCTGGTAGGGGACGTTGCCGCTGTTGGGCAAAGCGGCCTGGGGAAAAGCGTAGGTCCTGTGCGAGCCGTATCTTGACTGCAGCGTGTCCTCCCTGGAGGTTTGGCGGTACGGGCCCTGGTGACTGCTCTGGGGGGCTTCCTCCTGCCTGGATGTGGGGGCTTGCTGCTCCCTGGGAGACATTCCTGAAAATAATTGCATTGTTGAATGTGATTTGAGGCTACTCGGAGAGCACAGCAAACCGTTTTTGCAAGGGCATTACATTTTAGGCTGAACAATGTTACGTGCAGATTGGATCAATCGGGGTACTATCAAAATGTAAACTTTGAGACAATATCCACACATGCATACATATACACACACACAGACATATGACATGTATTCTTGTCTATTTCATATATTAGTACAATAGTCGCCCGATATCTGTTTCATGTTTGTCTAACTTCATTTGTAACTCCATTGTGATAAGTCAGAAATTAATGTGCCTGAGAAAACTTACGCGAGTGATTTTATTATTTAACATCTGTTTGCATTTGTGATTTAAAATTGTCATGTGACAGATTTTTTTTATAATTTAAAATTTGCTACATTGCCGTCATTTATTTTATTAGTTTTGCTGTTGCCATTTTGGTGACCCAGGACACCCCCCTAGCAAATTACTCATCTGGTTAAACAAAAAAACTTGGCCTTGACAAACATCTCCCTTTAAGAATGCACTCACTGTCTGGGAAGTCAAGTTAGTGAGCATCTATGAAGGCGAGCATGTATGCACGTATGTTGCATGTTGAACTTCTTTCGCATCGTACATAGCAAACCGTGCTAATTGGAGGTGCGGGGGAAGGACAACAAACTAAACACACAAAAGCAGCTCTAAAGAAATGAGATTTGAATCATCTAGATTTAACAGAGCACGACAATGAAGAGGATGCTGTGAATGATACTACGGGACTATTCACGCTACTTCGCTATTGTCTCACGAGTGTCGATGGTAACACATTGCACGAGGTATCGTTTAGAATCCATTACATATATTCCACGTATTTAAAATAATCCAAGATCATTTTTTTAAACGCTACAATGAAGCTTTAAATAACCAACTGGGGTGCAAGTATAACAAAAACAACACAGTCCAACTGGAATTATGTTTGATAAGAAAGTATGGCTCACACCCCCATGTCCTCCCTATGCATTGTCAATCACAAGTTTTCTTGTTAAAATTCTTGGCCGACAGCTCAAGGATACAAAGATAACGGATACTTCAATCGAACGCTATTACGTCAATTCTAAAGGTACCTGGATGAGAGTTCTTTTTTGAAATGCTGGAATTATTAACGATGTTATCTGTGCCAAGTTATTAATTAAGGAATTATTCCGAGTCTCACACATTGTTATTCATAACTATTTGTGAAAGGAGATGAGGTAGCATGTAGGATATTGAGGACTTCACAAATGGATGAAAATCTAACTTCCAGGTGTAATCAACATTCACCATTGTAAACTCATGATACATGTGCAGAATTAAATTACCTTAAACCTTTTTTAGCATTGGTGAATGTAATCTGAAGACAGTGTAATTGCTGTTGGTGAAAAAATATATAATGATCTACACGAGCTGCATTACTGAAAGTGGTTTTACTCAATTACTTATTTCACACAAAAAAATTACAACGTGAAAGTCAAAGTGTCACCAAACTCATTAAAACAGTCGGAACTGTTCATCTCCATTGGCAACCATAAACCAGAGCGGAAATTCCACATTCCTACTGCCGGGGCCCGTCTCTTCTTAACAACGGTCACAGCTTACTTACGCTACTCATTCAATTGACTCTTCAGCGATTGAAGTAATTTTGTGCTCAAAAGAGCTTTAACGTGGTCAGCATGAAGGTAGTGCTCATTGACTATTCATTGTCCACAGCCAGTGGTGGAATTTCCAGAGACCTACTACAGGGACGAGTCTCTCAAAAGGACAACTGCCGTTGACTTCCCCAATAAAGTGGTACCTATTTTATGGACCCGAGGGGGATGATGACCCGAGTCAAACGTCACAAACGGGAATTTAACTCACAATCTGCCACAGCGCTACATTGCCTTTGGCCTCATATCTAAGTACAGTAACGGATATTCTTGGTGTATATGAAATCGAGATTATTATCTTTTGCACATCTACATATATAGCTTGTTCACGGTTTAATGTAAAGCACACTGTTGTGCAAGGCAAGAGGAAACCACCTGAACTCTCCTGCCCCATCTTCTTGGTTCTTTCAGTAAAGTCACGTAGAAGGGAAATAATAAAAATGAAACATAATAAAATATTATTTCCCTTCTACGTGACTTTACCGAAAGAACCAAGAAGATGAATCCCTGCAGTCACGAAAGCTTTACATCGAAAAACTCCTTCCCCAGTTAGGGCTCAGGAAGCCTCATACAAAGTACGGTGTTGTAAGGCGAAGAGGACGGAGAGAGGTGGGACCTGCTCTTGGATAGAGCACTTTAGAGCAAGACAAACATTTGCCAAGAGATTCCAGACACTACATAATCACTGAAAACGTCGTGGTTACTTCACAGCCATGTGACTTGTCACTGTACCTGTGTAATGGTAGGAAGGAGGATTGGTCGTCTGTTGCGACCCTTGATGCTGTCCAGACTGCCCCTGCTTTGCCTGAGCAGGTACCACGAAGAGTGTGGGCTGGCTTCCCGCTGCACGCATCCCTGTGTTTTGAACCGAGCCACAGAATGGGACGTCTGTCCTTTTCTCCGTTGCTTTTGGCCCCACGTCCTCACCAGGCAGGTCCACGGATTTGCTCCTGAGTTTTCACATTTGAAAATAGGTACGTATTATTACAACTTGATTGTACGATCACAACTTTGCAAACATTAGCTATTCTCTCTGCTCCTCAGCGCAGAATTTCCTATATTTTTGATAATTCTTGAGGCATTGCTGTTAAATCAGCTCAACAAAGTATACAACTATTTTGATCTTGCACAAAATATCATGCTGTCAAAGTATTCATCAAATATGGGTTATAAATCACAACGGGTTGGACATACATTTTTGCAACAAGGAATGAAATCATTTAACTCAATGAATCTTATTCAAGAATACAAATTCTCCACATATTTGGAATACATTTTCTGATTCATCACATGATATATAATTGAGCAAAAACACAATAGATCATAATTTTTTTATTGAAATTTGTATATATATATGAAGGCAATATTAATTGGATCATTATTATCAACAGGCAAAGAGACAAACACTTCTTGACAAGATTCCCAGAACGCTTTATAAGGGATTTCCAGGGAATTAACAAGCGAACCTTGGACTCAGAGCCAAGCATGCTTCCTGTCAAAGAGTGGCTGTCAATTCCATTGTCCATGACCCCCAGACAACTACAATTCCCTGCAGGCCAGTAGACATTAACAAGGAAACCATGGAATAACTAACATGTACAATAGCTAACGTGCATCGTTATTTCGTATTCATGAGCATGATAACTGGAACAACTAATGGTTAAATGGAGTTGAGATCCAACGCCCGAAATTAAACTGTAAAAATAAAGCAAAAATAAATTAGGCTCTACTGTAATAGCATGTTTTGCATTCCCATGCTGTATTGCATTGAATGTAAGCGGTATTGGTGACACACACTTCACTATGATAATCTATGTTCTTTGAGTGTGTGTATGAGAAATGAGGCAAAGTTTCTTACCAGTACGATACTCTCACATCGCCTCCGCTGCCACTGTAATAGCTACTTGACTGACTAGAAAATCTAAATGCAAGAAGAAGAGCATTATTGGAAAAGATTATACAAATCAGAGGTCCACACAGAACAGAACAAATTACGACACGAAGGCTTTCAAAATGGCATAGGTTGTGAGATCTGAACTTGTCTGATGTACAGGCAAACCTTTGAGTCATAATAGGGCAAATTACTTAGCGAAAAACAGCAATGTAAGCAACGTTCAAAGCCCTGGAGGTCACAAGGCAAACGTGTTCTGGCAAGCCTCGTGTTAATTTATTAGAAGCAATTTGGAGGCATTCGCATGCGGAATATGTGGGTGTAATGGATGCTAGTTAGGTTGTATAGCCGAGAATGCCTACCCAGGGAGTTTTCACATTACAGAGCATGATTTAAACGGACATTAACATAAAGAGGCTTGGATGGTAGACTTGGGAGAAATTCAGGAAGGAAGAATGATCTTACACACCCGCCACTTGCAACATACAGGTTTCATGTGTTTGCTCATGAGCCTACATATTTAATTGTCATGGAATGGAATGACAACAATCCTCGCGTTAAAACTACATTTTCATCGCTCAAGAATAGTATATTGCACATGCATCGAACAAGAAATTAAATCCAATAAAACTAAACATGTTAAAATAATTGTTGGTTAATTTGACCATCCACTACTAATAGGTACGCAAGGACATACTTTTCCAACACCACCAGCTGTTCATACTTTGTAAAAAATGCTTTGTAAAATAATTCACAGCCAACTTTTTCTCCCATGACTCCGATTTGTATTGATTTTTGCACAACTTGTTCTTTTTAACCACTGTGAGTTGCACCATAATCATAGTTAACTCTGAGCAATCATTTGCAGGCATATAAATAGCATTTGAAGATTGTGCTAATAATGACTCATTCAACTAAAATTGCAGTAATTAGCAATGCCTGTTCAATTGTAAAAGAGTTCTAGTTAACAATTGGATAATTTATATGAAAAATAAATGTATCATCAGAAGAATGTGGTGCACAATCGGTAGATTATCATTTTGAATCCTTCTATTGTTTAAAGGTACTGTGTCCCATAGCTTAAATTGTAAGCAAGATATGATTCCGAATACTATAATTGCTTTGATTTGTCTTTCAAATGTATTGCTCGCATAATAGATGTATGGGTGTAACACTGCACAGCGGACTCCTTAGATATATGCATCAATGTATAACAAATAAGACATTATTCATGGTTGTTAGTGGAAAACACCATGATAACATTTTTCTTCATAAAACATATTAATTACAATGCAAAGAGATGCGATATTATTGGTGAAAATGCAGTCTTGTCCATCAAGATAATTTCCTCGACTGTATTTACGGGTGAAGAATAAAATGAATGTCACGATGCAGGAGTTTCAAATGAGCGCACACAGCATGATGAATGGAAAAGACCACAAAAGGGTCAAACCAACATAGTTACATGTCAGCATCTCACTGTCTTCTTACGGGACTTTAAGGGGGGAAAAAAACACAACCGATCCATGTAAAGCAGTTTTACCGCACTCTGAAAAGTGCAAAAGCTTGCAATGTTAGCTTAAGTAGATGAATGACATTTTTTTGCAAGATGCGGAAAATGTATTGCTTTCCCCCCCAGCAGAATTGTATAACTAAGGGTGTCAAGATGCAAGTGATGGGGCGATGAGTGTGAAAAATGGCACGGTGTTATCAGAAAGGGCAGGATGTGATTGAACGTGCTTTGCTTTTTTAAAAAAAACTGCGTTTTGAACAGCTGACCATCGGCGTGCTGGAATTTGTACAAAGGTGTAACATCAAAGAGAGATGTATCAATATATTAAGTGGGATTTTCTTTTCATATCTTTGAAAAAAATACTTATGCATAGGTTTGCTGATCTTGCCATCTGCAAAGAAACATTTTATAGATTCCAGCATAATGAAATGCACAAATAGCAAAACACAAATGTTGTCAACTTTTCAAGTGACAATAAGCAAGCTCTGATGTGCTCTCATTTTGGATTGTTTATTATGTCCGGTAATGAGCTAGTGAGGTTATTTTGTGATTGCAATTGTATGAGTGAAGCAAAACGGTACAATAAGTCATTAATACTGAGTGACACAAAAATGTAGATACATTAATTATTCGCAACAAAGTGTTAAATTGCAGTTATATATTTAAATTAACATGCATGACACACAACTGAAACATGGTTAATATGCTCAATTAAGTGAATAAGCGAATGAAACATCGGTGGAAAAATTACTTGATTATAAAATCTAAATGTAGCATTCATGTTGTTAGTATAAACAGCTGTATTCAGTTAAGTAAATGACCAATATTTAAATTATGAATTAAAAAATATAATTGCCACAATTAAAAGAATGGCAAGTATATTAAGTAAAACTATTTTAACATTGACACATGAAAATTAGTCCAACTTTTAATTTAACATGAATCTTTTGAAATATAACGTAATACTCTCATATGTTACTGACCTGTACATAAAAATTGTAGCATGTTATTATCACAGTGCAAATGCAGTCAGGGTTAGATGCCTATGGTTTCTGGGATTAAAAAAATATATTTTATGTACAGTATTTTACTCAACAAATTTGGTTTATAATAACTCGTGACAAGCACAGTTAAAACAAGATGCATATTATATTTCAACCAGGGCAAAATCACAAAACATTCCTGTTCTGGTCATTCTTTATATCTACGCAATAAAAACCCAAGTATAAAATGCACAAGATATATGAAGCAGGAGGCAAAATGTAGTTAATGCCTTAAGGACTGTACAATTAGAAATAAATCCTTGCAATACTGCGTGAACGGACCGGATATAAAACGTTGACAGCAAAAACACAACATGCGCACTACTGTACCAATATAAATACTTAAAAAATATATATTATAAACAATCTTACAAATATAAATTAATATACATTACTGCATTTAAACACCTCTTTTATTCGTGGTTTATATCGCAACGAATCACCACAAAACAACTTTGTGATTATTTTTTTCTTCTGAACATGAGAAGCATATCACGAACAAATGGGTGGTGACATTGACCAAGTGCGCTACATTCCGACGAAAGATACATACAACCGGATTCTCAAACAACAACAAAAACACACACACAATCTACAGCTGTGTATGCTGGTACCTGCTATAGGTGGGCTTGCTGTTGTGGGTGGGTTTGGGTGTGTCAGGGAGTGATGGGGTAGTGGGAGCAGTGGGGGACGTCTGTCCAGTGGGGCTGACTGGGTGGGGGAGCTTGCATTGCTGCAGGGACCTCCGTGCCGAGTCCACATCCTCCCCGTCCATGTGGGCCGGTCGGGGCAGGGGAACGAACCCCTCGCCCCTTGTCCCGGATACCCTCTGAGTCTCCGCTGTTCTGCGGACGCAAACAATGGAATGCATGAGAACGTGTGAAAGGCAACGTGTGCAGTCCCGAAATTGCTCGCTCACACCACTGCTGGCGGAAGGGCCTCCACTTACGAGGTGTTCTAGAAAGCCCCCTCAAGAGGGTGCCACGGTGGAGAGAGCGCGTCACGGTGGCTAGGAGATGTTGACTACCTCGCCTGGTATACAGGAGGTCGTGGGTTCGATCCCGACCCTGACGCCTGCTGCTGTATATTTGGAGTTTGCGTATTTGGCTGCTATGCATGTCCACGTGAGAAGCCACTTCGTTTAGCGATCATTTGTGGCCAGGTCACTTCTGAAAATGAGCTATATAGCTCAGTGGGCCTTACCTGGTAAAGTACAAATAGTTTATAGTATACTTGGCCTATTCTTCCACGCTGGCCAGATTTCTCGAAATAATTGTTAGTACCCCACACTTTACCGCACCACACGCAAACTGTCGATCAACTAACTGCATCGTACCCATTTTTTACGACTGCTGCAAGGGAGACTGAATTTTGCCACGGCAGCATCGTGAGAGCGTCAATGCTTTCTAATTTGTGACAATTCCACATTGGATAACCGGGGCATAGTATTTCATTTGTAAGTTGAAAGTGGTTTACTGTTTCAGTGCACATGGGTCAGTGCACATCTCCTGTTTACCAGGCATCCAATGATTCACCCTCCTAACTCCAACCACCAACCACCACTTCCGTGTGAATTGAAGAATTGTCATCATTTTTAGTCATGGTTCAATGCATGCTTAGGTTCTCTATGTCTTATTACGTCTCATTTGCTGTGTCTGTATTGTCAAAGCCCCATTTCTTCCAAGAGCCCAAAGGTAACATTTGAAAATAATGTGCAAAAGTTTTGTTTTTCATACATACAACCTCTGGCATGATGGTTCTCAAGGGTAAACACCGATTTAAATATATGACTTGATCAATTCCTACGATCAATTTGTATATATATAGTATCTACTAAAAATCCCATGTTCCAAGACGCTGTACAAAAATGAAAAAAAAATCTGCATGAAGACAGGAAGGAGAGGGGGTCAGGGCAGGGTCGGGGAATGGTCAGGGTCAAGACAAGGGCAGGGAAGCGTAGGAGAGAAAGCACCAAAATACGGCACAACAGCCTTAATCAAAGAAGCCAGGACCCATCACCAATGAGCCCAATTCGAATTTGGGGGCAAGTCTCGATGTTGGACAGCAACCGTTGACTTCTCACAAATGAGCGACTTCAAGTGGCAAATCTTCTGGTTGGGAAATGTGAACTCAAATAAGGTTTCCACAAGGCTGGCCCATGAATATTTCAAATACGCGCGGTACAAGAGACGCGAGAGATGTTTCTCTGCGATACCTGTGTGCCTGCGGTTGCTCTTGCCCATCTTGTTGCTTTCCTTTGTTAGGAACTGCATAGATATCTGGAAAGTTCTGAGCGATTTCCACCTTTAACAAAAAAATACACAGACGTGGAACAAAGACAGCACATCAAGATGGGGACATTCAAAGCAAGGATAAATTACAGTACTCTACTATTGCCACATACTGTAAAGCAAACCTAGACATTAACACACGATAGTGTGTATGAGTACATCGTTAGTATGCAAAAGGTGACTTCGAATTATACTTTGTAATTAAGCATATGCATATCATATTATGAAGAAGCCTGTTCAAGGATGGGAAAGGTTAGCTGTAATGTTTACCAAATGGATTAACGAAAGAGAAAATGTTAATCTAATGATTAAATTAAAATCGCAACGCCAGGGGCCACAACAGGATTTGTGTTAATCTATGCATTTTCAGTTTTGCCAAATAATAAAACAAAAATACTCGCAAATCACAATAACATTGCAACATCGCCCCCTACTGGCAGGCAATAGACGTCTGTGAAACACCGTGCCTTCGTAATAACTTTCTGCGATAAGAATTACGTAAGTACTATAATGTGCGAAATTGTTATTGTTTCCATAAAACATTTATTCTGGCCTTCTAACAGTCTTTTGGGTTTCAACGAGGTAAAGTTGGTCAAAAAATTATCATTTCTGCACGGTGATCAATTTGCGCACGCATATATTTGTTTTAGAAAATAAATATCTGAATGTAGCATCTCAACGTACTGCTATTCTTTGGCTTTTGTTTTTGTTCTGTTCTGTTGCGTACTTGTGTGCTCAATAAGTTGTAATGTATACACTTGATTGCTCATCTACAGACTTTGACAAGATGTAACATTCATATTAACAATACTCTGGCTCATGTTCCTTTCTTGCACACATAAGTATTATAATGCTCTATAGCTAGCCCCACTGGCATACATTGTATTTGCTTTGGCACAAGTGGAAGAAGATAACATTGTTTCGTTTTTAAAATAATTAAGTGGCTACACATTGTGAGTCTCTTGGCTGACAGGAACTTGGAAAAAACAATGTCATGATTTGCACTGTTCCACCTATCCGTGCATGAGTTAGGAAGTTCTTAGAAACGTATTATATTGCGAGCAATTACCAGAGCACACATTCCCTCAACCATGTCACTCACCTTGTACCTTATTCAGGGCTGCCACATTACATATAACTGCACATATTTTGAATTCGGGAAAATGGGTGTTGCATGCCACGAAAGAATTTAATTTCATAAAGCATGCAATCTGCTTTGGGAACCATGATCAGCTCACCACAAAACAAGCGCACCACATGACAACCCCATTTACACTATGAAATGTAAATGTATCATATATTCACAACCAATGCACAATAATAACAATTGTAATCAAATAATCAAATTTCATATGTATAATTTCTATATAATCATGTTAATTATAACAAGATGCAAACTATAAGTGTTCAGTATTTTTAGAACCAATAATCCAAGTGCTACTTGAATAATGCAACACAGAGAAATAAGACGCAGAAAATTACCTTGGGCACAATGGCATTAGTTATCCTGACAAGTTGCTCCCCGTTTTAAAATAAAGGATATATATAACAAGCACCAGAGGAATAATACATGCTTCCAGTACAATGATTGCAGGGATTTGTATGTGAGCAGCACCTAAAGGGAATGCATATATCTCCAAATGGGGGCTTTTTTTCAAACCCATAGCGATTTGACTACGTCAACAAAAGAAATAATCTCAAGGTCATTCTGAAGCTTGCTTTCCCAATTTGCCTTACCATGAGACCATGGCAGGGATGTCAAGGGAATTCTACCTTAACAAATTATAAAAGCTCACGACTGCTCCTAGCCAGCGGGCGATTGCTGAAAATAGATTTTAGAATTGTTTTAAGGTTAGCAAAAAAAACGCGTGGTATTTAAAAAAAACATTGAACAACGTTAAACGTGATAAACATTTGAAGTAAGTTGAAGCTTGTCTTCATACGTAATTATACAACTTGTTTTTTTCAGAGCTAAGAACGCTTATTAACATTTAAAAATGTTACTACAATACCTAACTGCCTAATAGATCTTGATTTGAAGCCTTCGTGACTGCAGAAATCCATACTCTTTGGTTCTTTCGGTAAAGTCACGTGGGTAGAAAAAATAAAAGATCACGACGTTTCGATCGCAACGCAAGCAATCGTCATCTTCCGCCTGATGACGATTGCTTGCGTTGCGATCAAAATGCCTAATATATTCTAACAGTTGAATCAGTAATTGTGTGAAACACCAATTAAAGCATCTTGGCAAATATTTGATCCACTGTATTCCTTAAACTGTGTAATATAAAACAGTGGTTTTTTTTTAATATATAACGGATAAATATGCATGGAGCCGCACACATACAGGAATTAGTGACAAACCAAACAAATTCGGTATATTAACGTGTTCATGTATTCATATGACCCAATGTATGAAAATCCCATTTGCAACCTTTGATGCTGCCGTAATGAGTTTCAAGCTTATTCTTTTCCCACAATACACATCCCAAGTGTGGTTGAGCAGATGTCGCGTGAACTTCAGAAGATAGCGTGGCGACAGCTGGACGGAAGATTACGTTGAACACGGCCTGAACCAGAAAGCCACACTTTGACTGCAGGACGTGCTACAACACACACACACACACACGCGCGTTAATAATCCCTGCGTAATGCGCAGACGTGCTCACCCGTGCTTGCTGTGCCTCCTGGAGCTCGAGTAATCGCTCTTGCCTCGCCTTGTTGTCGAGGTTTTCAAACATCTTTATCCTGCTCATCACCGACTTGGCCTGCTTGCTCTTGGGGCCGTCCGCGCCGCCCTCGCCGTCGTTTGCCCTCTGGTAGTGAGCGGACGGCGGAGGCCTTGCGGCGGGCAGCGTGCCGTGACCCCCGTGGGATTCTGCCGACGGGGCCGGCGCCGCTCCCCCCGCGCCGTAGCCCCTCGACGTGGGCCCGTTGCGGCTGCCGTGGGCCCGCGCCGGCGCGTCGCGTGGGCTCTGCGAGTCGGGAGTCCGGGCGGCGCGCTTGCCGTCGAAGCCGTGCGCGTCGTAGCGCGGCGGGTACGGCGGCTCCTCCTCGCCGATGGGGGAGCTGTATCGGGGGGGCGCCGTGTGGCCCTCGAAGTCACCGGGCGCGTCCCGCCCGTACGGGCGATTCGGCGGCAGGTCGTAGCTCTGGTAGTGGTAGTTGGAGTTGTAATCCACCGTCTGCCTGTGAGCGTGCTGCGTCTCGTAAGCAGGTGTCCTGTTGAACTGGTGGTGGTTATTCACGTGCTGCTTCTCGTAATTCTGAGGCTGCTGGACATTGTAGTTCTCTGGTTGCTGCCTTTTGTAGGAATGGGACTGCTGATGCCCTTCTGAGTTATTGGAAAATGACGGATTATAGTTTGCTATTTGTGCATCAGCAGTCCATGACTTTCTCCTTGTTTGCATCTCATGGCTTTTAGATGGCTGGCTATAAGCTTTTTGAAATTGATGGCTGTAGCTGTAGGATGGCTGTATCGTGTAGATATGTTCTGGTGGTTGGTCAAACCGCGGTTGTTGAGGTTTGTAGTTGTGATCTTTATAATAATATTGCTGCTTGTTGTCCACATTTGGAAAACCAAAACTTGGCTGGGAGTGATCTTCCTGGTATGTGGGTTCTTTCCCATATGACTCCTCACTCCGAAGCTGTAAATAATTAAAAGTACATTAAACATGCCTTATGCTTCGAAAATAGTCTGCATGAGCTACATTAGTTAACCAAAGATGGTGGGAATTCATTAATAAAAATAATTCTGCAAAACAATTGAATATTTTCAGATAAAGGATGCTTTTACATGATATTTGAGTTACTGCAGCAGTCATTTGGGTGCTTTCTACGATGAAGAGTTATTATTGCTAGAAATATTTACAGAAATGCAGCCAAACCCTATGAAAGAAATTGGTGGCAATGTTTAACAACATTTAACTAAGGACTGCCTTCTGCTAAAATACACAGGTGTGAGAATCATGGGAAATTAAAAATGAATATAAAATAAGTGAAAGATTGAAATGAAAACAAGGTCACAGTCAAAGAATGGTACAAGTTAAACTTGAGTTGTGATTTTAAATACCTGTTGACAGCTGATGGAGATACTGTACTAATACAGGAGGCATAAGTACTAAAATTTACATTGAATACTGAAACACACCTTTGGCGGAAATGATTTACTGTACATGGTAATGTTTTTCTCTCATCACATTTTCTCACTATTTCAGCTATATCTTTACAAATACATACCCGCAGCCTTAATGTCTAAAACATAGAAAGGTATCATTTTTATATCAGATGATAAAACAAATGAGCAATATAATTCAATAAACTTACGTGATCTTTTTTCATATTTCACAATTCCACAGATACCTATTAAACCACTACTAAACTATTTTATTTTACCAGGTAAGGCCCACTGAGCTAGACGTAGCTTTGTTTTTCAGAAGCGATCTGGCCACAAATGACAGCCCAACGAAGCGGCTTATCGCGTGGAAATTTACATCAGCAAAAATACTCTTAAACCTATGATGCCCTATAGCCTTAATGAAATTAAGCTTACTCAATATCATATTTAGTAATTGTGCTGGCAAGAAGCTCTCCAGGGGAAATATTGGCGTACCTAGATTTGAGGATTCATCAACTGGTGTACAATATTCCAATGAGGGATGAAATATGAAAATAGCCATTTATCACGTTAATGCAATCAACCATTATTTTTTATGGATCAAATGAGACTTAATTAAAATTAATAATAACACTCATAAACTATAAAATAGGCAGTGAAGCAAATTACAATGTATTTAATTTAATCATGGCCATCATTGTGAATTAGCAAGGGGTACATTTTTGTTATGTTATAATTTTCCCCATCGGAAGGGATGAAAAAAACAATCAGACAAAATAGTGGTATCTGATAAATTTGAATGTAAAAAGTTTCTGAATAATTGAAGTTAAGGATGTTGAGTCTCCAGCCGAGTACAATTAAAGTTGTAAGCCTTTTAATAGGAAGCAAGGCATGCTCTCTCTTTAATAGTTTCCAACATTTTCAATGCCTATCATGTTATATTTAATTCGCATATGTAATCCAGTTATTCAATTGGGATTTATATATCCAGCAAAATCATGTGTGTGCATATTTTCAACAATTAAGAGACTGTATATTTTTCTTTAAGCCACACAAACACAAACGTGTTGACAGCACACAATTTCCCCAGAATCCTACATGATGCAGCATATAGCGGCGAGTCATGCAGGCATGCAGGGCAATACCTGGGTGCCTGGGGCTGGCTCGGGGTGGTAGACAGGAGGAGGGCTGGAATCCCCCAGAATTTCACTACTACTGGCCCTGCTCATCGCTGCCTGCGTGCAATGTGCTGCTGCTGCCACTGCTGCCTGAGGGTTTGGTGGGTGTGGGTGGAAAGGAGGTGGGGGACTGTGATCCTGTAACTCTGAGCTTGAAGCCCTGCTCATTCTGCTGCTAGGAGCTCCGTCTACTCCTGGCAACGGTGGGGGCCTCGCTGGGATAGGCATTCGAACCGACAGGACCTGTAAGCCCGGCAAAGTGAGGGGGGGTTTAGGTTGCGAGGAAGTCCTGTGCAAGTGACCTAGCGCTGCCAACTGCGCAGAAGTGGCAGCCGGTGGCGGAACATATTCAGGGTCCAGTACAGAGGCTGGGATGAACTTGACACTCTGTAAAATGAGTGAAGGAAGATCATCTACATTTATGTAATCACAGTGGCAGATTTCCCACCGTGGGTCAACAAGCAGATCATTGGGATGTTATTTTAAACACGTGTGAAGTACAGTTTAATGCCAACAGGCTCCATTACGTTTGAACACTTTATATGAATTGTATTTTAAAAAGTTACTGCTAAGCTGAAACTACCTTTGACCCACAGCTGAAAGTTGAAATATGAATGCAAACACATTAGGGCTCCCTCTTAGATGGAGGCAGACACTGGAAGTGTCCAGTTGTGAAATATTGTCTTATAGTCATGCATTCGTAATCATGATGCAATAAATAATTGTAACTGCAAATGATAGCATCGATGCATTTAGCAGTCTGCAGAAACCTTTGAGGAAGCACTAATAATGTTATGACTCGTTAGTAAATAACAATGTTCACATTCTAATGAGACAAATGCAAGCATTCTCAGTTAAAATATTGCATGAGTGTTAGTAGAATTTCGTAATTTCTAATCATGTATAATGAATGGTAAAATGCAAAAAAAATTCAAACAGCAGTGAATCAGTTTGACAGAGAATGGTAGTCGGCAAAACGCAAGAGAGTTAATGTGTTATTAGTAAATCAGGAGAGGAAAAAATGGCTTTGCTCTTTGGAAAAATTCAGAAATGTATGGTTTTTGAAAAGAACTAAGGACCCTTTTTACATCAACCGTTTAAAGGAATTCAAATTCATGACGACTTGCTGTTTGCTCGGGTAGCCATTTGTAATATAACAATTCATTTGTATCGTAAATATCCGCATGTAAATTTACAATGTATTATCGTAACACTAAGTTCCAGAAATAATTGGAAATAACGTGTGCAATACTTTAACTGCAACGTAAACTACATGCTCCAGTTTTGGTAGCGTATTGCATGCATTTGTTTGAAATCTAATAAGCAGGTGCAGTATTGCAAAGCGACGCTTTGTGTTATGTTTGTTTGCTGAAGAAAATTAATGGAAAGGAATAAAAGATCCAGAGAATCCAAATTTATCAGGACAGTTTCGTTTTATAAGGATTTATATATTCTGCTAGAACATAATTCAATGTTCATAATTGTATATCGAACATGTTAAGAGGAAAAAAATGGTCAGCTGAACTATTTCTTTGTAAATAAAGTTTTTGATGCCCATTTTCTTACCAGCGGGAGGCTTGTACATGTCAGAGAATTTGAACCTGGACAACACTGAGCAACGAGCTTCAAAACGCATTGAAACGCCAATCACTGACATCAATGTTACTAACTGGAACGAACTCTAAAATCCTTGTTGGTTACTCATTACAGTGACATTTCCTTGTACCACGTGAGTAAACAGAGAGGAAACTTGACAGTTCTCAAAATGAAGCTGACTTCTGTTCAAAGACATGCTTTCATGTTCATGTATATACAATACCATATATACAGTGTGATCAAAGAGTCGCTGTGCAGTAAAACTATTTCTTAAATCACAGATTCACAGCCATTGTTGAAAATGGGAACCATTGACATCCGAACACAAACCTAACATGTCGAAATCTGTTCTGAAACACATCATTCAATACCCTGGCTGCATGCCCGCTTCTCACGCAAGTTGCATCCATCGTCAGTTCATCCACAGCGTGAGCCAAGGCTGTATGTGTGTTCACTGCACAGGAACTTTTTGATCACCACGTAGAGAAACCAGAAGAGAGCAGATGCAAATAGCTGCGTTTGAAGAAAATAAAGAAACTAAAAGTTGAGATGATGAGAATGAAGGAAGGGCCACCTCGCTGTCGAGACTGAGACACACCTCATAGTGGCCGCCCGGCTGTGTTGGCAGCAACTGTGGCCTCACGTATCCCGGCTGTTGCTGCTGCTGCTGCTGTGGTTGATGGTGCTGCAGATGAATGGCTGCTTCGTCATCATGGGTGGTGGGTTCAGCTGAGCGTGCCGTGGCCGGCTTCACAACCCTCATTCCGGGCTGAGCCACCACTGCCTGTTGCTCGGGCAGTCTTAGAACAGGGTTGGCTGGCTCAGAGCATCGCACCATAGCAGCATCGGGCTGCTGCTGCTGCTGCAGGTGCTGCTGCCGCCCTGCGCTCACGTGCTGTGCCTCGTCCGCCTCCTGGTCGGTGTAGGTGCCGCCCTCTGTGTCCGTGTCGTCGTAGTCTGAGGCGTGGCGACTGTCGGCGCTGAACAGGGAGTACTCACTCCCCGGCGCGGACAGGTACGAGAGCCGGTCGTCCTGCATGTCTAGGTCATCGTCTGCCGAGCCATCCGCCTGCCGCCATTGAACCCCCAGGCCCATCACTCATCTGGGCATTTTCATTTCTTAAATATGTTTTCATTTCTTATTTATGTATGTATAAATAAAAGGTGCTACGTGCAGAGTACTTCTATCATGGTCGTGACAAATAATGCCTTGGTTGGGCAGCACTTCAGACATAGACTGAGGGTCTGGCTCTACGTGATCATTAAGTCAGCATACTTCTTAAAATATATTTTTACAAAAACGGTGTACAATTGTAGCTATTGCTTATTCGACCTGTGCCATAGGGGTTTAACCCCCCAAAAAATAGATATTTTTGGTGATCCAAAAATATTCGTAAAATATATTGTCCGTGAATTTAAGTTTCGTAAAGTTATTAAAATATTGCCATGGAGCTGCCTTGTTATTGCCAACTAAAGCTCCAATGAAAGCAACGTGAGTATTAAAAAAAAAACTTTGGATTAAAAATTTGCAATGAGCAATGCGACTCTTAGGGCAAACAAACATACCTGCTTACTGCATGCATAACAAAGCAACATCACCGTCACTCACACAGTAAAGGTTAGACTGTTCAACGAAACACGCTCCATGATGCAAACAAGCTACGGGGAACTGGGTGCCCAGAAGCACTTTTGAAGGTCAACGTCTACAACTTTTTAATTCCATGAAAAGGTTGATCACATCGAAATTAACAGTTTTAACCTTTCCACCAGAGATAATTGGACTACTGCACAAATAACATACAATGTCGCATTGATTTTTTTGGGGGGTTTTAATAAAGCGTCTCAATGCAAAGGCATTTCTTGACGCTGTTGAGTCATGACACTTGAATACATGACAGTGAGGAAATCTATAAGCAGCTATCACACAAATACTAAATATATAATAGAAGTAGACAAGTGGGGAAAGTTGGTTTAACAAAATATATGTATGCAATAGATAGATAATAGGGCTTTATGCTTATTACTGAGATAGTGGGTGGCAGTTTTAAACATAGAAAGCATGGGCAAGACCATTCTAGACAGTAGGGCTAGCAATAAGGAATGTATGTAGCCAACCATGTTAATCGGAAGGACAACAAACTAAACACGAAAAGCAATTTTAAAGAAATTAGTTTTCTATCAAGATTTAAAAGTGCATAGCTCTAGTGGCTTCCTAATATTGGAAGAGCGTTCCAGATGGCCGCAGAAGCGCATCTGATAGCGCGCGATGCGGATTCCGTTTTTGTTCGATAGGCAGCCAAAAGACGCTGCGAGAATGACCGGAGTTCACGTGATGGTTTATGCTCCTTAACGAGATCAAAAAGGTATTGTGGTTTATTTGTGGGAAACACTTTATGTGTAATGAATGAACGCGACCTCATAATGAATTTGTTCGGCAACTGGAAGCCAATGCAGCATGGCGAGCACTGGACATATTGTTGTGGATCATAATTTAGAGAGAAACCTGTCATGATTTTAGTTCAAAAGCAAAATTATTAACACAGCACACAGTACTGTATAAAGGAAACAATTGCATTGTATGACATTGTGCAGTAGGGGGCTCTTTGCTTGATGTTGGAAGTTTCACTCTAGCAACTTGCACACGTGCGTTTTACCCACAATAGTGACGCACTGTTGGCATCATGGAGATAAGATAAAGAGCCATTCAAAGCCACAGCCTGCAATGAATAAACAGCAGGGAGACAATTCAAGCTGAGCCAGAAAAAGTACCTTGCCCTCGGAGACCCACACCAGTTGGTTCTGCTGCTGCCGGATGGTGTCCTTCAGGCTGCCGTACCAGCCGTCGTTCATGTAGTTCAGCTGAATTGTTGCTGCAAAAAAAAAAATCACAGGCAGCAGCAACAACAACAACAAATTACATTAAAAATAATGCCCATTAAGTAACTAAAGTCTCAGAGCGCAGGAATACAATCGACGCATGGGAGCCAATTAATGGGAGGAACTGAGCAAGCGTAGGAGAGAAAGGAAACAGTGAGCTTGGAGATGGAGGGTGGAGAAGAGAAGGTGGTCGCAGAGATTGGGAGGGGCAAGGGCGTAGATGGATATACAAAGCAAGCATGCTATGTATGTATGTATGTTGAACTTCTTTCGCACCATCCGTAGCCAAGCGTGCTAATTAGAGGTGCGGGCGAAGGACAACAAACGAAACACAAAAAGCAGTTCCAAACAAAAGAGTCCTCAATCGACATGATTTAAAAGTGCATAGCTCCAATGGTTTTCCTAACATCGGAAGGAAGAGCGTTCCAGGCGGCTGCAGAAGCGCATCTGAAAGCACGCGGTGCAATGAGCGTCTTTGTTTGATGACTAGCCAAAAAAGAAAGCTGTTTTTGGCGTGCTGTCGCACTTCCTTATAAAGCTTTTCCTTGCCACAATACTCTGTCGGAAGGGGAACCACTTTACTTGAACCATGTAGACCTCAAGTCAAATGGAATGTGCCAACCCCAACCGTGATCCCATGCAGCTGCATATGGTAATTTAAATACTTAAAAGCTAGACATGCAGGTTTGTAAACTGCCTGAGTGAAAAATGTGGCTTTTCAGATATGTATTAAATAACATTAACGAGAACAAAAGAGTAGCAGGGTCATTAATGAGATCCTGAGAACATAAGATATATCTTAATCAATGTTTTGGTCTGCAGAGGTCTACGTGAACTTTATACAAGAAGATATGTTTTAAAATGTAAAGCTATGCAGGCTAAAATGGCATAAGCGGCAGAGTTATGAGAATTGCCGTTCCGACCACCAAGAAAAGCAATTTGCATTATGAATGCCAGATTACAAACAGCAGTAAGTGCCAATTTGAGAGAATTCATAGATCAGAGAAGCTATAAATTGTTAATCAGCTGGATGAGGTCATGGACAGGCTCTAAATTGTGCACAGAATGTTCAGGCCTGTTTTTTTTTTAATGGAAAATGCCTCACATTATAAAATGAGAGAACTTGTCAGTGGACTGATGAAGGTTTCAGACTGCTCTGCACAGCTGTAACAATACCCATTTAGTTCTGCATAGTGAAGTGCTTTTAGCTATGGGTTACTTACATGTGAACAATGGGAAATAACTTGTCTGCAATTTAACCTCCTTGCACATATGCTAAATAACCAGTGTATTGTCTGCAGGCTACGTGGTAGGCAGCAGAGGGCAGTGCAGAAAAAAAATCCATTGTTATACAGTACTTACACGCTCCTACATCAATGCTCCCCCACCTTCACCAACCAGTAATGAACCAGTGCGGTGAAGTAACAACCACCCATAACCTCCGCTGGCATTGGGAGGCCCTCATCCAGCAGTGGATGGACAAAAGTGCTGCACGCATTATGTATTAAGTCTGTAATCCAGTGGTTTAGAACTGGGGTTGGTGGCTCACACATGGATGGAACTCACTTGCAAGGGCAATTAGGTGTTAAAATAATACAAAAATAATGCGTTTAGACCAAGTTTGAGAGTTGGTCTTCTCATGTATGGGGTATCCCAAAATATTTGAGTTTATTTTCGCCTATCAATATATGCAAAAGCATTAATGAGTCAAACGAGCCATAGCAAGACCCTTAAGACAAAGCTTTGACACTTTGGGTTAATGAAAAATAAAAACACATTATCCATATGTACTTAGTGACACGCACACACACACCATCACTGGAGATGACACCACGATGATGTATACCGACACTTTTATACTCTATTTCCAGAATGTCACGCGTAACATTTATTACTCAGTTAATAAGTGAGTTGGTCAGCTTGGATAATGAGCATTAAAATACCCTTTTAAACCAGGAAAGCCTCACTGAATTTCAAGACTATTTTAAAAGAGGATTCTGCATTGAGATATTTGGCAAATTCGATTAATGTGTGCTTGGTATGTGTAAGGAAACCAGAGTACCCAGATAAAATACACACGTACAGATACGTATATAGATCCTGAGAGAAAAGCAAAAAAGTTCCATTGCTCTACTGCCATCTTCTGATGGGCAGTCCTCCCATCCAAGTACTAACCAGGTTCAACCCAGCTTAACTTCTGAGAGCAAATGAGATCGGATTCATTCAGGCTGATTTGATCATAGGCAAAAAGTTCCCTTCAAAGAGACATGGCTTGCTGATATAAATTGTTAGATGAATGGCAAATAGCCTCGCGACACATGCGAACACCCTTTTGTTTCTAGATTTGAAGCTTTCGTGACTGTAAGGATTTATACTCTTTGGTTTTTTTCAGTAGTCATGTAGGTAAAAAATAAAATGTAATAAGTGAAAACAACTAAATTAAATCACGACGTTTCGGGCGCAACACAAGCGTCCTTCTTCAGGTGGGGACAACGTAGTGAAAGCACAACCGCTTAAGTGTAATTTATTTCATTAAATGTTTTACCTACGTGACTTTACCGTAAAAAACAAAGAGTATGAACCCTTGTGTTTGATCACGTGTACGCAATATCAAAAATGTCTCACACACGCGCCACTGCTGCTTAGCCACAACAGTGCGACATCGTTACGGTCGCCATGACATACCAGCTCAAGGCACTGCACCGACAAAGATAAGGGGGGGGGGGGGGCGGGGGGTCAGCGGGCAGCGAGGTACCCGTGAAGAGATGCGAGTTGCTCTTGCGCAGCTTGATGGAGCGCTCGTACAGTTTGCGCGCGCTCTTGTTGGACTCGGGGCACAGGCGCTGCCGCATGGCCTTGACGCCCGCCTTGCTGTCAGGGCCCAAGAAGAGCACGATGGGGTACCACTGCGCGTAGTTGAGTCGGTCCACGGCGTTAGGGGTCACGTCCAACAGCGCGTGCTTGTCCTGCGACCACAGCAGCAGGCGGAGGTAAATGCGCAGCCCTCCAAATTATTTTGCCGACACTGCTGGACGGAAGGGCCTCCACTACAGGGAGTTCAAGAGAACGCCTGTGGTAGGTGTTTTCTACTATTCTATACTGGCCAGATGTTTGCTAAGAGGTGGGAGAAGAAACCAACACTTTAACTTACCACACTGGAAAGATGTTTTCAAAGATGTTTTCAAAGAGGTTTTCAAAGAGGTGGGAGAAGAACCCACACTTGAACTTACCACACGTGTAGGGATGTATGTTGAACTTATTTCGCAGTGTACGTTGCCAATCGTGCTAATCGGAGGTACGCACAGCATGGCTATTGTGTGAGTGCAGAGTTTCTAATTAATTACTGCTGAGTTCTAATTACTTACTGCTCCCCCGCCTTCACCAACCAACATGACGATGGTGTGCCCATCCGTACCGCAAAGTAGATAAAGGAACGAGGATTAATAAATCTGCCCATTGTTTAATCTGCCGTGCCAAGAGAGCCAACCAGTGACCTCCAGTGTGCCAACCATTAGACCATGGCAGCAACCACGGAAACATTCAATGTATTTTTTTACCACGTTTCACTTCATAGTTATAAGCAACGTTATTACATCAACCAATATGTACCTACAGACGTTAATTTAACCCAGGTTGTTGAGCGCACCTTTAATTTATAATGACATATTTTTAAATTCATTGGGTGTGTGGTTGTGTTTTTCTTGGCAGGGCAAAGTGTTTAAAAGTGCTCATAATACGTGTGGTTTACAGCACGAACTGAACGTGTGCCAGAAAAATGCCAGTGCAGCCCAAACTTAAGCCATTAATCACAGCACCTGAAGTGCAGGCTGTGAAGTGAACAAATGTGCTTTCCTCCTGGCGTCTATTACACTCTGCGTATAAATTGCACAAAGAGTAGTAGTATCCTTCACCCGGTCTATAATCTGCTTGATGGTGTAGAGACGAATCATCCCATGCCTCTTGTGGTCTACCCCAGCATCGCGAGGCTCGCTCTCTGAAAAGTATAAACACGCACTAAATCAGATTCCTGATTGTTTTAGCATAATATATGCGACTTTTACATATATACCATGAATAGATTTGAAATAATATGTTGTATGTAAAAAATGTCAAAAAATGTAATATGTTTTCCCGTTGCTATGCATATGTCATCGTCAATCAGACAGTTGGTCTTTGTTTCATGATCACTATATGTAGCTGACAAGATAACACATCTAGCTTTGCAGAGCACAGCCCTAAGTAGGATTACACAGGACTTCTCCCCAGTGTCTCATTCAATGAATGTCTCTGGGCTCCTCTTTCAAGAGCACTCATTCCGCTGCTGAGTCAAGTGTGTGTGTATTGCTTTTTCTCTGATGCCAAATGGTAACCTCAGAGATGGATATGGCTTGAGTAGTTGAAAATGGCAAGTTAAGATGAGGTCATTTTGTACAACGTCTAATAATTAACTTCTTTACATCTAACTCAGGAAGTTGAGAGTGTATTTAAGGCCTATATAAAGAGAATACTGTCAACCTGAGTCAGTGAGAATATTTACATTTTCGTAGCACCTATGTCTTTACCCAACTCCAGAACTTAATTTCCACTGCATTGAAACTTATTTTTTTGTATGGCTGATGTAGATGTGCAGAACAACAATTTCACATTCAGGTGGTCAAGCCAGATAAGCACGTCAGGAGCAGCGGAGTGTACTGCTGTGATGTCTCCTTCGTATTTGTGGATCGAGCATTGCGTCATCATATGTTGCACGGTCTGTTCTGGATGACCACAGGCGCAGACTGAGAGAGTTTTCCATTTTCCATTTGTGCATCAGGTATTTGTATCTGCCATGGTTTGTGCGGATGCGATTTAGGGTGAACCATTAGCTTTGCGTTGGGTTTCTCTTGAACTCACTACCGCGAAGGTGCGCAACTCACTCGCAATCTCAAACTGGTCGGGCAGCTCGCGAGCGAGCCGCTCCCGTGCCACGTCCGCGATGGGTCCGAAAATCACCACGGGCCGCAGGAACCCAGCTGGAAACAGTGCAAAGCATCAGTGCACTCGCAAAGAGGTTCAGCAAGAATGCATGGCATTACCAGCCCGATCACAATCGTGAGGCCCTAATCTGGTTCGGATTCACTTGCATAGAACTTACGCAGGCACAGGTTAAGAAGTTTGCCGCGTCCTATAGAAAGAAAGCAAATGTATATATCTTTCTCATTGTTGTTAGAATGTTCTTATTTCATGCTGAGCATTAATGTGATGGCAGTTTGAGTGGCAGATTTGTGCCAGAAAGGCGCCGCATTTGTAAACAAAAATTAATTGACTTAACATCCATGGTCTGGAATTCCGTCGCCATGACCATATTATTAGCACTGGTGGCTACGTACGGTGCGACAGAAGTTCAACACACATGGTTATGTGCTGCCAATTCCACGGACCAGTTCAAGACCAAGCTCAAGACCTTCCCTCTCTCTGCTATTACTTATCACTATCTCTTGTCTACCAAGTGTCTTCAAATGTACCTTAGCTTTAAATTACATATTTAAAGGTCACTGTGATTAACAGATCCCAATGCTTTGTAAACAGTTTTGAGATGTGGTCCCATTTCGATGAACACTTATGGATAATTTTAGATTTGAAGCTTTCGTGACTGCAAGGATTCATACTCTTAGGTTTTTTTCGAAAAAGTCACGTAGGTAAAAAATAATAAAAATAATAGAAATAATTTACTGTATCACCGTCACAGTAAATTTAGCTGTGACGGTCCCACCTGATGACGGAGACTTGTGTTACCTCCGAAACGTCGTGATTTATTATTTTATTTCTATTATTCTTATTATTATTATTTTTATTTTTTACCTACGTGACTTTACCGAAAAAACCTAAGACTACTTAAGGATAATGTATAACATTTGTATCAAACTAATTTATATACATTCTATAAATTGTGTAGCAACATACAAACAAATCAAATGTAAGCTGGTTATAGGAATGGGTCTCATTTGTTTTCTTTAAATTATTACTATTGTCTTACAGAATCAAATATGCCACACGAAACGATGAATGTGTTAGTCACATGTCACTCTTAAATCACATTGAGAATGTGTGCATGATGGAATACATCACGTACTGTATCGATCTTCAAATTAATACAATTATAGAATTGTCATTACTAATGGTACTACTCATGATATAACATTTATAATTAATTACTGAGTTTCTCAAATCCAATTGTCCACAGGTTTTATAAAAGACGTCAGTATTGAAATAACAATAGGTTTATTTTCATGAAAATTAAACAAATGATGAAAATGCATTAAATGAATAATATAGGTTAGGTGCATTTTAGGATACGATTTAGAATGACAAATTAAAATTACTCGTGAGTAATACACGAGTACTGTACCGTTATGTCAGGGTGTAATTGGGATGCAGTAAACATTTACCACAATTTTAATTGAAACCAAAGGTTAAAAGTACAACTCTGAAAACCACAATGCAGCTTTATATCGTGTCAATATGCCACGATGCAGAATGCACATTAAAAATAATTACAAAGCTGTATTTTTTGTTTAACCAAAAGTAAAAACTGAAATGAGCTGTAGGTGCGGTGTAAGTACAAGGCTCTGGAAATGAATTATCCATTGGATGCGGTAAAAGCTTCCTTATTCTGAATCCAAATAGATGTGCGAAATAAAATTGGATGATCATTTCGTGGGACGAAAAAAGGAACAAAATATACGAATAAAATTCGTACAAAATTTAGTTGCAGCATATGCAATGCACCATATTGTTCGTGACATTTTCTAGCTATACAAATTTAAGAGCGTTGGCAGTGGTATAAAAACAAAAAGAGAAAAAGCCTCGTCACCAACATTGTTTCATAACAAAAAAAAATATTGGCCAACCATATTTTATCTTCATATGGTAGTGTTAATTACCGAATGAATACTAAACTAAACATTTTTTTTATTTTACCAGATAAGATCCACTGAGCTATACAGCTCTTTTTCGGAAACGACGTTGCCACAAATGATAGCTCAACGAACAAATGCACGTTGATTCTAAATATGCAGAGAAAACACGGAGAACTTGGGCAAAAATCCACGTGACCACGGGTTTCTCGAAATGGTTCAACAGCCCTTCGCACCGCGCGCCACGCGGTAACGCGCTCACCTTCCCTGAGCACCACCCGCTCGTAAGCAGGGAACTTGGTCTGCACGGGCTGCGTGGCCAAATCCTCGCGGCTCTTGCGCACGTTGCGCTTGACGGAGCGCAGGCCGCGGAAGCGCCAGAAGTCGGCGCGGTCGCCCCCGGCCACCTTGGCAAACGACTGCAGGTTTGCCAGCTGCTCGGCCCTGTGGGACAGAGGGGACGTGGTCCGAGCATGTCAACGAGCGAGCGAGCGAGCGCATGCATTCCGCCGACTGTATCACCTCAGCCACGCTTTAGTACATTTAATCGTTCAGTATTCATGTTATTCACATTGCGCTATGCTTTCACGTAGATGCGGCGTTTCACAGACAATTGTAATCTGCCAGTGAGGAGAAATGTTGCTACGTAGATTTGCCCATTGAGAAATATGCTAATCATTTTTCAAAATTTGGCCAATATTAAACGAGACGTTCGCAAACTGTGGTCTCCTTTTTTACAAATAACATCACAGCATCTTTAATATCCAGTGTGAAGGGGAGGGCACCTATTTATGGTTTACATATCCGCAGTATTAACCAGGATGGCTGCTGGGCTCGAACCACAAACCTCTGCAATAAGAACCAACGTGCTGCCCTCCGGGGCGTGTAATTTACTACGGCTTCTATGTCATTGCCCAACAAAGAGGAGCTCTTAATATGTGAAGATTTAGCCAAATGAATAGTACATGTTACGGGTGTCGACTGTCTATACGACATGTGTGTATGTTGAACTTCTTTTTCTCCGTACGTAGCCAACCGCGCGAATCGGAGGTGCGGGGGAAGGACAAAATGCGTACACTATATGTGTGTATATATTCACTATAAATTACAGTTCCCATATTTATATGCTTGCCCAAGTGCTATCCACACAGATGTTCCAATGTAGAAAAATAGTCAAACAGCTGCCTTCAATTATTTAGGAATTGTATCATAAAAAAAATGTTTTGTACATGTTTTTTTTCATTATGCATTCAAGTAACATTATAATGGTTAATGCTTGAGCTGTATACGGGCCGTCTACAGAGGCTCATTTTGTTACAACCCAGCAATGGTTAAGAACACCATGTGTAATTTTAATCGGCAAATTTGGCAAAAAAGGCAAAAGGTCACCTGCAATGTCTTATACAAGTCACCAAAAAGCTTAAGGTCATTTCAGTTAGTGAGGTTTTTTTTTATTCATAATGTACTTTCTGAGCTCCTTAAACAAGGCCTCATATGCAATATGCAAGTATAATGTAGAAATAAAAATTGCGTACTGTTGGCTAACCTGAGGGTCTGAGTAGCGGTAGCAAGATAAATGTTCACATTTACTAATCGCGCGTTCGCTGTCAGAATACTGCGCAATTTCGGATATTTACTGAGGATTGTGGAAGAGAATAATGTGCACGTCCATTCATTGCCTTTCTCAAGTTATGGGCCCCCTGGGAAGAGTATGAAAGAGCCAACACAAGGCCTCATCGGCCTACACTTTCATCAGTCAAGGTTGATCTAAAAGAGAGTTTTTCGCACCTGATCACAAAATTCCTCTTTCCACTACAATGACGAAGGTGCCGAGAGATTAAACATTAAAATGTTCTCTAGGTGGTCAGACAAGTCAAGGGGCTCATGTCAGATTTCTGAACTGACATTTGTGAGTTGCTGGAGTCAAATATGGGAAGTCACCCATGATTATGTATGGGTCTTAAGTTTTGCGAGCTATTGCTCTGAGCCCTGCCAACAATTACTCTGTTAACAAACCAATTATATCAAATTGAATCAGTAATTTCATTCAATTCAGCATATTTCATCTGTGAGGACTCAATCTTCATTTTGATTTAAATATTAATATGATTAATTACAGGACATGAATGAGCACTTTCTTTTTAGTCGTCGAGAAGGAAGGTCTATTGAAGACTTTTTGGGATGTAAAAATTCCGTAAAAAGACAGCTCCTCCTGATGATGACCACTCGTGTTGCGATCGAAACGTCGTAGGTTTTTGTTATTTTCTTTGAACCTATCTACGTGACTTCACCGAATGACCCAAAGAATATTCATTATAACAGTTAACATGCAAGTGCAGTAACTCTAGATGAGTTATAATGATAACATGAATAATGCTTACATACTAACTTAGCAATCTTTGGAAGAACGTAATCAACCAGGTAAAGTGTTAACTGTCTGTTGTGTTAGCCGACTCTGTGTTGCATTGCATTACATTTCTAAGTTTACTAGGTTTTATTTCTCAAGCTTCCAATTTCTCTCCCCCTGCTGCAGATCCCACGCCCCCCTTGTCTCTCATTGACGTTGCTAATTTCTCTGCCCCCCCCCTCTCTTCTCTCTCTATATATAATACCTCGTCACAGAGGCATTGTTTCTCTGTGTGTCTCTGTGTGTGTCTCTCTCTCTGGTTGTATCTCTGTGTGTGTGTCTCTCTCCGTGTCTGTGTTTGTCTCTCTCTCTCTGTGTGTCTCTCTCCGAGCTTGCATTTACATGCAGTTCTCACCTGATGACGGTTGCTTGTGTTGTAATCGAAACGGCGTGTTCTACTATTTATTTTATTTTTTATTTCTACGTGACTTTACCGAAAGAACCAAAGAGTTATACTAACTTAATTTAGCATTATTTGACAATTATTATGTCTGAATAAAAAAAGGCAACGCATTGCGAAACGGAAATGCGAAATGTACACATTTAAAGAATAAATATAGCCATGGTCCCAATATTCCACACATTACCCATCGTCTGTTGGGAAATGAGTTGTCTCATGAGTTGTGTGTGTAGAGCTGTGATACTTAATGATTTGAGTCATCACATCTACCCCTCTATTTAAGGATTTCTCCACAAATCTGGCTATCGCCTGATGAAGCTAGTCGTAATTACTGGCGAAACGTCGTACTCAGATCGTAAATGTTGTGGCTTTGCTCTCCAACACACCGGTGTGCTGTACTAGTAACGAATTAGAATGTTCTGTTTACGTGACAAACCTTACTAATTGGCTGTGTCGGGTGGTGGCAGGTTTAACGACACATTATATTCATGCGACCTCACCACAAAACACCTGTATTATGTACTCTACCTATTGTTCTTCGACGAGGTAATGCGTGGGGCTTGGCGATGGCATCGCATCATGGGCAGGGTCATGCTGGGCATGACTTGTAGGAGGGGGGGGGAGGTTCTTGTCTTCAAGGAGGCAGGATGTGGGGGGGGGGGGGGTGGTGGCCACCATTTTTAAAGAGGCCCGAGAAATTGACCACAAGAAAAGAACTTGATTATAGTTTGGAGTTGATTAATTAAATTTGATTAATTAGACTTAATAAACTAATCGTCCCAGCTCTAGTTGCGTGCCACACATTCCATAAACATGACCGTTATGCTCTTTGGTTCTTTCGGTAAAGTCACGTATAAAGATAAAATAATAAATTAAATAATAGCATACCACGACGTTTCGATTGCAACACAAGCGATCATCATCAGGTATAAAAGAAATAGCAACAAAAATCTAACCAGAAAACTATAGACAGATTAGATTTTTGTTGCCATTTCTTTTATACCTGATGATGATTGCTTGTGTTGCAATCGAAACGTCGTAGTATGCTATTATTTAATTTATTCTTGTATCTTTATACGTGACTTCACCGAAAGAACCAAAGAGTAATCCCTGCAGTCACGAAAGCTCCAAATTAAGAATGACCGTTATGTTTGAAGTCGCTGCTACCACGGGCTGGCCCACAGGGGGCGATACACCCACGTTTAAAACCAACAAGCTTGGTTTGCTTCAACAAGCAGAGCACTACAACATTGGGTCCAAAGCAAACCAATAATATCTTAATAACAAAAATATCAAGTGGAAAATTATTTGAATGCCACGTTAAAATGTAGTTAAGCCGCTTGTATCAATACATCTTATAGGTATTTGAGACGTATTGGGGCGAGCAGTCGTACAGCGGTTCGTACACTGTGCTATGAATCCATTGAGGTATCATCACCAGCCAAGCTCCATTCGTTGCTAGATTAAAATCTATTCATGAGGATGTAACAGCTGTGAATTCTAGAATATTACACTTTGGCTCAAATATTGAGTCTATAACTAGACATTTCCAAGTAACATCGTTTTTAGAACTTGGAACAAATAGAATTGGGTATATTCTACAGTCTATAACTATTGTAGAAACATCCAAAGTACTGATTCTTCTAATATGGGCCCCTAAATTACAGACAGGGTCAGCCTAAGGTTAAAATATCATGCTCAACACTTAAAAGTACACTATCTCCACCATCAATGAACAAAGTAATTCATCTCCCATGAAGTTTGATAAAAATCAGGGAAAGCCCCCAAAATTAAAGTTAGTTCTTAAGACTCACTGTATTATATTTTTAAAAGGTTTTTTGTATGTGGCATGCTAACTTTGACATGCCACAACATCACATGGTATTTACTTGCCACGGAAAAACCTTGTTTGACATGTGGTCAGTGGTAGCAGTGCTTGTTCTCAGAAGCCCACACAAAGACAAAGATCCCCCAATAGTCTTCATCCAGTTGGGGCAAGTGTTGTTAGTGACCACATATGAAGGCCGGCACGGTACACGAGGGGGTGGATGGCCAGCACCATGCCTGACCACCTTTGTCTCCCCAGCGGTGATGTTTACACATCACACCAGGTACTCATATGAGGCTGAGTCGACCTAGCGGAGGCCTAGAGGCGGTTCAGATAATAGTCACTGGTGTTGGTGGCCGTGAGCGGGAATCAAACTCAGGTCAGTGGATTCGTAGCACAGTGCGCAAACTACTGTGCCACCACTCCCCATAGTGCTTGTTCTCAGAAGGCAACACACACACACACTGCAATGTGGCTGCGGTTGTGCGGCTCGTGTGTGTGCACAACCCCACCTGTTCTTGTTGGGGATGATGCCACGCTCCACCTCCTGGTGGTTGCGGCCGATGCGAATGGCGAGCCACGAGCCCAGCTTGCCGTTGTAGAGGGTGTCCACGACCCGGAACACCTCGCCCCGCGTGAAGCTCAAGCCATAGGGTGTCTCCTTCTCGTAGCCAAAGTGTGTGCGGATGTAGAAGGAATCCCCCACGTCCGACTCCACCACCCGCCGATAGACTGCAATAGCGGAGAAAGAGAAAGACCCCTGTATAGCGATATAAACCGTTAGCGAGCGACCCGTTTGAAAGTCAGCGCGGCACACAAGAGGGCGTGGGGTGGACAGCACCACACCAGGCTGTCTTTGCCTCTCCAGTGCTTACATTCGCACCTCACCAGGTACTCATTTATGGTTGAGGCGGCATAGGGGAGGCTTAGGACAAGTTCAGATTCACCACTGATGTTGGCCATAAGCATGAATTTAACTCAGGTCGTCAGGTTTCTAGCATAGTGCACTAACCACTATGCAACCGCACTCCACTGCAATAGCACACACATGCCCATGCGTCTGCATTATAATGATAATATAAACTACAAGTTCCTAAATTAATTTCTGCCACGATAAATCAAGTGGCACTTGATTAGGGTGCACTAATCACAGTTGAGAGGTCGAGAGATGAGATCCCAGTCTCTGGGGTCAACTCAGGCTGTCATCCATCTGGTCGAGATGAAATACGAGGTAAGTACCACTTTGTGAGATAAAAGCAGTGTTCGACCAAAGGAAGAATTTTGCCCCTGTCACGAACATCTGAAATGTCCACAACTGACTTAAGGCCCCCTATGAGAACAAGCACTAACAATAATAAGTGTTGTGAAGGTGTCCTTTATCTTGGATAATATTCGATTTTCTCAACCAGGTTTTACCTTGCGATGTTTCAAGAATACTTTTTTAATAAAACATTAATGGACGAATGGGCCGAAAACATTGAAAACTCTGCGCATTGGGGTCCCATCACCAGATGTACTGCATCTTCTGGCAACCTCTGAGCTAAGGGAGTTGGGAGTTCCGCAGCACATGAGCTATGTATGGTATCCAACAACCTCTCTTCTAAAGTGATGAAGGTGCATTTAGAGTATTTGGCTGCTGTACATTTCCACGTGATAAGCCACTTTGTTGAGCTATCATTTGTGACCAGGTCACTTCTCAAAAAGAGCTGCATAGCTCAGTGGGCCTTATCTGGTAAAATAAATATTATTTAGTTTTCATTTCATTTTAAATACAACAAAACTTGCACAACATATGTGGCAGTGTTTTTATGAAGAAAACAACTTATTTAATATGGTACAAATTACATTTAAACAATTATTTTAAATAACATGTCTGGACAATAACATCAAACCCTCAGGAATTTATGATCTGGAACATATTGCATGGATTTGCTTCATGTGCATGGTTTTCTGAAATGTGCTGTTTGATTAAATCAAGTAAGAATATGAATTACTGTATAATGAAAGTATGCAAGCAGATGGCACTACATTTTTGTCGTAGTGTTCAGCTTTAATGGCAGTGCGATATGGAGAATGCTGCATTGCGCATTTAGCTTTGCTTTTAAAATACTTTATATGCAATGCCCATACATCTTCCATGAAGACTCGGCGTAATTATGAGATAACTGCAATTTCTGAAAATTGATGCTAATTATATGCCGCCCACATCACGCCTAAAACTGCCGATGATGAGAATGTATGAATGATTTTACCGCTGTAAACGATGAATGACTGCCAAGGGATTACCAGGTTTCTTACATTCTGCCAGATGTCAGAATTATGTGATTTTAATGGAACAAAAATATCATAATTTTGTTAAAATTGCGAGTGTTCTCCATTTTTAGAGTGGCATCTGTGTCTCTCCAAACTGCTCCCCCCTCTGTCTTTGCTCAAACCCATTCATTGTGTGACTGCATTTGACCAGTTGGCACTTTTCATGCAGTGTATAGTGGTGACTCTTGCTTTTGGGGGGCACAGATCACTATAAAAGTGGTATGACTCATATTGGACAGCATGAAACTATTCTTAGAAATGTGTAATGTGTAAGGCGAAGGAACAATGATTAATTGCCGGTTGTGTCAATATTGGTAATACACTGTTTTATATGCCCGACTGTTTCACACTGTGTCAAACATGTCTGATGAACACGTACTCCCTTTAATCCTCTTTCAAGGGGAACTAAGTTGATGTTGCATTGAACATCACTACATTTTACACATGGCCACATTCATGGAAATACTCACTAAGAAAATGATCAAGAACCACTCATTCATCAGCAAGCGCATGGCCTACAAGGAAGAATCTATGAGGCCAATAGGTTTGGGTGAGGCAGTGCTACAAACTCTTGCTACTTTGTCCAGTGTTTGAAACTTACCCAGCACTAAACATCTGAGACCAATTAAGCTGTTTCAAACTGTTAAGCAGGCATGCCAACTTATTATTTGCGAGAATTTCTATCGTGAGACGTTGCCTTTCCATAAAGCAGCTGTTTAAAGTATTCCCTCTACTGGGTACTCCATTGTGGCAGCGAGATGATTAAGGCTCACCGTCCTTCTTGCGCTGAGCCAAGATGCTGACTTCCTCCCCCTTGGGCAGCTCAAGGAGAAAGAGCACAGCTTCCTCTCGAATTATGTTCTGAAAATCCACATTGTTTACCTGAAACACGACATAACAAGCCAATCTGTTAACCGGCGCAGGCAGCAGTCATTATTTTTTGTGGGGCTGCTGGGGCACTTTGTTTTGACAAACTTAATTGTCATGACTGAATCAGGCTGGGAGCCAATGGCACAAGGCAAAAACAACAATAATTTATTTGCTTACATAACGGTTCAATGGAAATCCCAGAGAAGTAGAATTGACGGCAATAGTACAAGAACGCTAATATTAATTTGATCCATTATACAACAGGACATTTCAGTTACGTAATGTGGGGAGGAAAAAAAACGGAATCGCCCTGTTAAGAAGCACTGCCGTGAAATATGTAAAACTCGTCATCTAAGCAAGAATTCAACCTAAACGTGCAAAAGGACAACACAGGTTGAAACACATTTGCACATCAATATCAGATTAGAAATTATGTATTGTTATTAAGCCATATTAAACACTGTACTAATGCAGAGTTGTGCATCGATTAACATTTGCTAGTTAAGAGAACTGTTTGTGATCAGTGTTAGAAAGATCTATACAACTGCTGGCATGCTTTTATTCCTTTTCTTCCGTGCCATATTTCCTGCCTACTCCGTTATTTCATTATTGATCAGGTTTTTCAGAAATTACATCTTTGCCATACTATTGCATTAAAACAGAATTATAGCGATGAAGGTGGGATGACTGCTGAATTGTTAAAGAGCACACAAGAGCTCCTGCATTATCTCTCTTCAGACGCTCTTAAAATGTGTTTTTGTGCCTTGTGTGCAAGCTACTAACATTGTAAATATGGCAGAATATTGACAAATATGGTCTCATTGGGAATTAAATATTAATAGAAGGTTGTCGACCCATGAAATGTGGAGGCAAAATCATCAGGGGTAGAGATCCAAGACATGTTCAGATGAGACTAATCATGAATGTACACATTCAGGCATTGAACCGAGGCCGCTGGGTTAGCAGCACCGCTCCCGACAGCTACAATTTGCCACTAAGTAGCGATGACATCACCGCAATTGCTTGTGCCAAATGAGGAACATTTTGAGGCCACGTGAGGTGGCAAAGGCTTGCTGGCAGAAGGTCATGGGACAGACCCAGGTGTTATAGGTTAACTGGCTAGGGTAACTGGCAGATGCACGACCCATACTTCCCACCGCCAACTGTGCCAACTCCCTCCCTGACAAGCACGCACAAACATGTACACGCGCAAACACATCCAAAATCACAGATGCCCGTAGCCTTGCCTTGAGTAGCTGGTCCCCTTCCTCCAGCCCTTGGGTTGATGCGGGACTGCCCTCTTGCACGCCCGCCACAAAGATGCCCACGTCATTTCCACCAGCCAGCCGCAGGCCAACGCTCTCGCCCTTCCTAAACTTCACTAGCTTCATCTCCATGCTGCACGAAGAGTCCACGGCACAAACATTGCCCACGGGAATAACATGATATTCAACTTACAGTTAAAGAATGCATTTTGAAGATCTATGTGGAAGTGGGTGTATGCACTAAATACAGGTGTTTAGATGTCCAAACAACAAATAGACACCGATTACAAAGCCATAAATTCTGCATTAACCACACATTTGAAGTAAACTGTGCAAACAAATGTGCTTTTGGCCTGCACCAGAGACTGCCTCTTGTGTGGCTTTGTCTTACTCGTGCTATCGACTAAAGGCCGCCAAAAGGAGAACAGCACAAGGATGTGCAAACATCATTGCATTAAAAGCACGGGTTCAAGCAGTTATATGCTTGGTAGAAACATGAAGCACAATTTCTACTGTACTAGCTTTACTACCCGGCTTCGCCCGGGACTTGGATTCACTACACCCGGCCGCCTTTGTCTCCCCAGTGGCGATGTTTACACACCACACCATCTAGTCGTTTGAGGTTGAGTCGATCTAGGGGAGGCCCAGGACCGATTAAAATAATCATCACCGGTGGTGGCCGTGAGCGGGAATCGAACTCGGGTCGCCGGGTTCGTAGCGCAGCGCGCTAACCACTACACACAACTTTCAGGGTGCGTACGGCAGTAAACGACTGAAATAATAAAGCAATGCTGCGCGAAGAACGCCTTAGACCTGCAACACATTTGTATTTCACTTTACCCACGATCAGCAGGCACACTCCGTTACGCTTCCGCACACGGGTCACATGACAAATGTGACGTCACAGCTCGCTTGCCGTGCAAAATATATGCATTATTGCGCCCCCCCCCCAAAAAAAAATTCAAAAGTGTATTTTTTTTATTTTTGCATGGTGTACAGTCTGGAAAGTACCCACATGGCAAATTTCAAGTTTGTTGCATGTCGGGAAGTACGCTAAACATTTTGAACAGACACACATAATAGCAAATTTCCCTTTTTTATATATATTGATAAAATAAAGAATAATGGCACGTTAGTTTGAGATTTGTGAGCAAAAATAATTGAGACAAACTGAATTGTGCCTTTGCCAACTTGAAACACCGAGCATATGGTTCAGAGGACATTGCGTAATAAGCCTGAAGCGCAGAGGCTGAATGTTTTGAGCACAAGAAAATCTGCGTGAAAATAGTGCAGCCGCCCATGTGTGCTGTTTCAATGACTTACAGGCGTGCACCCATAAATGCTCACAACGATGCGGCCATAAAAGCTCATCAATGATATCATAATTCGCTTATAATGGTAGCATGAAGGGTCTCTTGTCATATGGCATCGATACTTAACATTACATGCCATATAATGATCAGCAATGAAAACAAATTATTGCATTGCTATCGCCGAATGTTAACGGGTTTTTATATGCTGCAAACTTTAACAAAGCATGTTTAAAGAATATATATAATTCTTGGAGGAAAAGGGAATGGCTGGAGAGTAACAAAAAAAGTTTTAATTTCATACAAAGTGTATGGAAAAGCATGCAGTCAGGTGACGTAGTGCGAACACAGCATGATGATATTACCGTATTTCAAAGAGATAAATTAATTATGGTAGAAAATACTGAGCACCAATAGATGTATGTATGCATGAATCGATGCTAATGGGTCAATGTTGAGAAATTAGACCCTCTATAAAACATGCACAAAATTCCTGTGGCTTTAACGCATAATATATCCCTGCCATGTCTTCTTCTCAGTGAATTGTTGCTAATGTGTGGTTGGCAGGGCTACTACGCACATACCACTGTGCACATACAACTTGAACGCTGTCAAAATGAACACTGCAGTTTTAAAAGCCTTATTTTATATACATGTAAAATTCGAAGTAAAAATTCTGGGTAGCAAAGAGCACTGCCACATTTTTTTATGTACAATGCATTCAAGTGTATATTTGTTATATTATTTGTGTCTTTCGGTAAAGTCACGTAAATAGGTTGTTGTGCATTACATAAAACAATGTTGTTAAGCTTTTTAGTAACATAATTTAATAACATAATTATGTGAGAATACAATGGGCAACATTTTAGATTGTCCCACTTTGTGTGATTGTGCACATCACAGGTTAAGGTTCTCGCTTAGAGCGGAATCCAAAGCATTTAATAAACACTGAATAGCAATAAAATAATTAATCGCAATGTAATATTTACTGAAAACACAAATGTAGAGTTCAATCCGAGTTACTTAGCATCACCACGACACAGCGGACATTGAAGGATGAACATATTTTCTGAAGGGCTCAAAGAATAGTTTTTTTTTTATAAACGTAAACAAATGAAGAGAGTGGACACTAACAGCACATGTAATTCAAGAGAAGAGATATTCAAATACTTGAACTAGTGCACATACGCACAACACCTTCTAGTTCCATCAATGTTACTAAGTGAACACAATTTGTTGACATGCTACCGTACAAGTAGATGGGTTTCGTGCATAATTTTGGATCGGCTGGAAGTGAGTGTATCTGGGATGCTCTTGAGTTTCTTTACGTGGTGTTCTGTTTGTAGGAATATATTGGCAACACAAACGCCTGCAAGATAGTGAAGCAAATAAAAAATCCAAAAGCAAGAGACGGCCACGAAGACCGATTTGTGTAATATAATGAAAGGAGATCATTGCTCTGATGTTCACTCCTGTGCTGAAATTCAAAGCCTCTGGCCATGGTCCTTAATGTATGAGAATATGAGTTTGCGATGACAAAGTAGGATCCAAGTGCCGTTAAATTTTGCTAAGGCTCCTGCCGCTAAATTTTATATTTATAGTAAAGCCACATGAATGTATGTTTTAAGCTATATTGACAAAAAAATTGGCAGGTGTGTAACAATGCGTGACTTCATGGATTAAAACTGAAAATTTGTGCAAGAAATATTTGTGGAATTTGTGCGCGCGAGAATCGATTCTCGTTGGTACACATGTAGTGTGCATGGAGACACTAAATTTTACCCCCATATTCAAAACAGATGTTACAAAGCACCCCGATATATAAAAAAAAACCTCAATTCTTAAGTGAAATTGTGACCCCAAAATCGTGGCAATTCATTCTACAGCTAGGGGCATGATGAAGGCCCCTCTGTACATTGTCAGTCATTGAGATATTTGATCATACTTTTCCACACTCGTAAGTGCGGGTTGGTAAAGAGATATCACTTGCCGCTAATGTTAGCTGTTGCCTGGAATTGCATTAATGGGTCGTCGGACAGGTGAGCTTCGCGTTGTCTCTGTGTATGTGTGTATATGTGTGTATGTGTGTTTGTGCCTGGCACAAGCGTCGTGGTGACGTCACCGCCACTTAGTGGCGAATGGCGGTTGTTGTTGTTGTATGTGTGTTGAATTTCTCTCTTACTGTATGTAGCCAACCGTGATAATCGGAGGTGTTCGGGAAGAACAAACTCAACACAAAAAGCAGTTCTAAAGAAACGAGTTTTCAATCTAGATTTAAAATTGCATAGCTTCAGTGGCTTCCTAATATCGGAAGGAAGAGCATTCCTGATGGCTGCAGAAGTGCATCTCAAAGGGCACGATGCGGAGACCGTCTTTGTTCGATGGTTAGCCAAACTCCGCTGGGAGGATGACCGGAGTTCGCGTGATGGTTTATGCTCCTTGACGAGATCAACAAAGTATTGTGTTTCATTTGTGGCAAGCACTTTGTGTGTAATGAGTGAAAAATAACTTTATAGCTCATCGGATTCCTCCAAAATAAATAAATATTCTGATTCTTATTCGTTCAGCAAACCGGAAGCCAATGCAGCTCGGTGAGCACTGGATGGACAAGGTCGGATCTTGCAGTGTATGTGTGCGCGCGCGCGTGTGTAAATGTGAACTTACCCCTGATACTGAAGAGTACTGTTGGGCAGAGCGGGTGTGGGGCTCACCGGGAGGTCAACATCGGGCTGCCCACCTCGACTGAATGTGGGCCGAGGCTCTGTTAGCAAAGGTAAGGGCAAAAGGAGAACCACATCTCAATTGATCTTGAATGTGTCGATACACGGAAGCCATGCGTGCTTCCGATTACAGTAATTAAAAACACAAATTGGCTTGGATTCTAATTTCCAATTAATTTAATGCTCTCGTGTACTGTGTTAATTGTGAAGGTGTATAAGTTATAGAGCAAGAAATAACATCATTAAATTCCAATTCAATTTTCATTTAGAATGGATGTTTTCCATCAGAGGAGCACGATAATAAGAATAACATGAATGACTGATTTCCTTAAAAGACTCCACACGTTTAAAATCTCAAGAGTCGCACAGTTTAGCATCACCAAGTGAACACACTACCCTGTCTTCTTGGTTCTTTCGGTAAAGTCACGTAGAAGGGAAATAATAAAATAGTAACAATAAAAACATAATAAAATAATTCTCACGACGTTTCGGCCACAACGCAAGCAGCCGAAACGTCGTGAGAATGATTTTATTATGTTTTATTTGTATTTTTATTATTTTATTATTTCCCTTTTATGTGACTTTACCGAAATAACCAAGAAGATGAATCCCTGCAGTCACGAAAGCTTTAAATCTAAACACTACCCTGTGTGTTCATGTCATGTTGAGTCAATCCACATGATTCCCACTGAAGCCATATTTAGCAAATGTCTCTATCAGTGAATTTTGGATGAAAGTGGAATGGAGCGTCTTTAACCAAACACGCAAGGATATTAAGAGAAATCCAGTTAGGGGCCGTCCATAAATGATGTCACGCGATTTTGGACGATTTTTACCCCCCCCCCCGTCACACGGCATCACAAAAAGTCAGACCCCCCCTCAAATACGACGTCACAAAGCTCTGCCCCCCCCCCAAAAGTAAAACATGCTTCAAATCGCTTTAAACTATTGTCATTGTAGTGCGTAATTAATGTGGCGCTGCACTCTGATGTTGTAGGAGAAAACATTTATTAAAAAGTCTATTTAATTAAGTAGAACGTGTTGTCTATTTTTATTTAAAGTTGCGCATTTTGATGTGACGTCACATTTATCAAACCCCCCCCTCCCCCCGTCACACATCGTCACAAATGTCTGACCAGGTGCGTGACGTAATTTATGGATGGCCCCTTAAACTACACTGGCAAAGCTGCTCGCTTGCCTCATTTTCCTAAAAGCTCAAAAATTCACTCCAAGTTCGTGAGCCACCTGCGTAATAAATCCATAAGCACCCTTTGACCCTTTTAGCAAACTTGATCCAGCGGCCAGCGGCTGAAAATGGATGTCGGCGATTTCAACCAAAGGGTCACAGAGCAACCTGTGGTGGCTCTCTGCGAGCAGACGACCACCACCCACCCCGCCCCCCCCACGAAAAACGCCGATGCGGACGCCGCGGACGCTGGTGCCGTGGTGGGCGCGGACATCACGGCGGTCGTACCAGCGGGTGGCGCTGTGCTTGTGCTGCTGCCGCCCCCTCCATCGGGCTGCTCGGGGCCGGTCACGACTTGGGGCGCGACGGCCGTGCCCTTGAAGGGGCCGTCCTCCAGCTTCTTGAAGGGGGTGGGAACGGCGCCACCGGACAGCGTCTTGCTGGAGGGGTCGCTGCCACTCTTCGAGCTGTGAGCGGGCGTGCGGGTGGGAAGCAGAACACCGTTTTAAGCCGCTTCATGGGACGGAGTTCGCATTCGAGCTGCAGTAATGTCCAAGCGAAGCTGCTCTGTGGTGATGATTTTGGGTGGCCTTTAAGAAGTGTGGTCTTTAAAAACGAGCGGCTCATTGTGAGCAGAGAGAGAGCGAGAATTGTTTTGAAAGGCCCCATCATGACACAATTGACTGAATGACTCAATTGCATATCTCAGTCAACCAAGAGAAAAAAATCATCTTGAGAACTATTTATTTGATCACTGGCAAGAGCCTATGATAAGCTGTGGGTTCGTCAGTATTCATATGAATAGCTCTGATGAATTGAATGAACTGCTGATTCTTACAAACATTGACAGACTGCTGAAAAACAGAAAGGAAAGAAATTAGACTGAGGTGGTCTATACAAACATTATTTTAGGCTCAAAGCTTAGTGAATGTTTGGGGGGAAAGCGCCAATTAAAGTTTCAGTTCATTTTGTGCAACGAGGATCTACCCAACATGACGGACAATGTGGGAGTAATACGACACGTGTTTATATTCCCATACCTGTCTGTTTTTAATTATGGGAGATCACACTGCGGCATTTCGTGCAACCATATGCGTGCATGCACAAAAGACAAAGATTCCCCATGTAGCCTTAACATACTTTGGGGGCAAGTGCTCTTAGCGAGCACCTACAAAGGCCGGTAGGGCACACAAGATAGTGGGTGGCCAGCACCACGCCTTTGTCTCCCCAGTGATGATGTTTACACACTGCAGAAAGTATTTGAGGCTGGGTCTACCTAGATAATCGTCACTGGTGTTGGTGCCCATGAGCGGGAATCGAACTCAGGTTACCGGGTTCGTAGCGCAGCGCAACTAACTACTGTGCCACTACTGCTCACGCGAGCGTGGATGTGTATGTGTGCGTGCATGCGAACACACATGCACACGTGTACACGTAGACAAAGATCCCCATATAGTCATGGAGACCTTCAGGACAAGTGCTGTCATAGTGAGCGCCTTTTAAGGCTGGCACAGGGCAAGAAGGGGTGGCGTGACCAAGCACTGTGCCCGGTCACCTTTGTATCCAGAGTGCTTATGTTGACATGCCACAACAGGTACTCATTTCAAGCCGAGTTGACCTCGGCTGGTTCAGATAAAACTTGCGACTGATGTTGGCCATTGCTGGGAATCAAACGCAGATGGCCAGGTGCATGGCGTGCTAGTCACTGTGCTCTGCTCCCACCAACACAAATACGCAGGAGCACATATACACATGCAGATACGCGCACCTCGACATGCGTACACATGACAAATATCCCCTTTATAGCCTTAACCGACTTTTGGGGCAGGTGCTGTTAGCGAGCACCTATGAAGGCCGGCACAGCACACGAAGGGGGTAGATGGCCAGCACTATGCCTGACCGCTTTTGTCTCCCCAGTGGCGATGTTTACACACCACATTGGGCACTCATTTGAGGCCGAGTCAACCTAGAGGAGGCCCAGGACAGGTTCAGATAATAGTCACTGGTGTCGGCCGTGATCAGGAATCGACCTCGGGTCACCAAGTTCGTAGCGCAGCGTAGCGCTAACCGCTACGCCACCGCTCCCCATACACATGAACACCCTTGTACACACACACTGCTGTGGTTTTAACAAACACACTAATGCTTAGCATTACCATCTCTAATGCAACAGAATTCAACCAATATAATATTTTAGTTTTCTACATTAAACAAATAAATGCAGCAGCATAAGGTAGGGTTAAACCAATTGCTATGTTGCGTAACTATTGTGTACTTTAACGTAGAGTGCTCCAACAGGAGGATGTGTTCGGCTCGTGGGACCAGCTGTTTACGCATTACATAATGTATGCAGGTGGAGGGAAACTTGGCCTGGATAGCAAGCACATGTAACTTGGACGTGTGATAATTTGCGTGATAACAAGTGTCTTGCTAAGAAGACTCTCGCGGCACGATCCGTCGTTAACGCTTCTAAAAACAGAGGTAGTTTGACACATGCTGGAAGTTGCGCACACAATGGGAGCAAAGCATGTCACACATTTTAAGTTATGTGCATTTAAAAACAACACTCTTTGTTACAACAATCCCGAGTGACGGTCCAAAGTCAGAATCGGAATCTTGCTTTTATCCTGGAAGAATCCGATGAGCTATGAAGCTCTATTTCACAGATGTCCAGCAGGAGCGGGAGTTCCTGAGAAAATGTAAGTCTCAAGACTTAAAACTGTGCAAGCAAATGTGTCTCGCCGTTGCACATTTTGGGTAGGATGATATGTGGGTTTCAGAAAAGCTGAGCATGTCAATGGAATATTTGTATGATTTACGTGGCCTCACTTATGGTCTGCGTGCCATTGTGTCCTTGGCACACGCCGGTGAGTGGATGTGTACGCAGTGTGCTCGTTCCAAGTGACATTCAATTTGCTATTGCCAAAATAAAGATTTGGAGGAATTACTTTAAAACATTCAGGTATGAAACTCAAATAGCCATTCACAACACTCCATCACTTTTTAAAAAATATATGATTTCCTCAAAAATCCGATTTCACTCAAGTGCCTTGTAATATCGCTTGCATTACCATTCTACAGAAGTCCACAATAATATCGTGGCACCCCTACAATATCTTATTGGGTTTTTTCATCTTATATATCATTGCTCATGCATTGTGAACCTCAAGCAGAAGTCATTGCTTTGTTGCAACCACTGTTACCGAGTTATCCTGGTTTGACACTGATGCTTCTCTAAATCTACACCAATTCTGGCTCCTGGGCTCGTACTCAGTCCATTTTGAAAAGAGATTGATCCGTATCCACTCCTCACTCTCCTGAGATTGATCCGAGTCCACGCCTCACTGTCATGAGAGATTGATCCGTGTCAACTCCTCACTTTGGTGAGAGATTGATCCGTGTCCACTCCTCACTCTCGTGAGAGATTGATCCGTGTCCACTCCTCACTTTGGTGAGAGATTGATCCGTGTTCACTCCTCACTTTGGTGAGAGATTGATCCGTGTTCACTCCTCACTTTGGTGAGAGATTGATCCGTGTCCACTCCTCACTTTGGTGAGAGATTGATCCGTGTCCACTCCTCACTTTCGTGAGAGATTGATCCGTGTTCACACCTCACTTTCGTGAGAGATTGATCCATGTCCACACCTCACTTTGGTGAGAGATTGATCCGTGTCCACTCCTCACTTTGGTGAGAGATTGATCCGTGTTCACACCTCACTTTGGTGAGAGATTGATCCGTGTTCACTCCTCACTTTCATGAGAGATTGATCCGTGTCCACACCTCACTTTCGTGAGAGATTGATCCCTGTCCACTCCTCACTTTGGTGAGAGATTGATCCGTGTCCACTCCTCACTTTGGTGAGAGGTTGATCCGTGTTCACTCCTCACTTTCGTGAGAGGTTGATCCGTGTCCACTCCTCACTTTCGTGAGAGATTGATCCGTGTCCACTCCTCACTTTGGTGAGAGATTGATCCGTGTCCACTCCTCACTTTGGTGAGAGATTGATCCGTGTTCACACCTCACTTTGGTGAGAGATTGATCCGTGTCCACTCCTCACTTTGGTGAGAGATTGATCCGTGTCCACTCCTCACTTTCGTGAGAGATTGATCCGAGTCCACGCCTCACTGTCATGAGAGATTGATCCGTGTCCACTCCTCACTTTGGTGAGAGATTGATCCGTGTCCACTCCTCACTTTGGTGAGAGATTGATCCGTGTCCACTCCTCACTTTGGTGAGAGATTGATCCGTGTCCACTCCTCACTTTGGTGAGAGATTGATCCGTGTTCACTCCTCACTTTGGTGAAAGATTGATCCGTGTCCACTCCTCACTCTCGTGAGATTGATCCGTGTCCACTCCTCACTTTCATGAGAGATTGATCCGTGTTCACACCTCACTCTCGTGAGAGATTGATCCGTGTCCACTCCTCACTTTGGTGAGAGATTGATCCGTGTCCACTCCTCACTTTGGTGAGAGATTGATCCGTGTCCACTCCTCACTCTCGTGAGATTGATCCGTGTCCACTCCTCACTTTCATGAGAGATTGATCCGTGTTCACACCTCACTCTCGTGAGAGATTGATCCGTGTCCACTCCTCACTTTGGTGAGAGATTGATCCGTGTTCACACCTCACTTTGGTGAGAGATTGATCCGTGTCCACTCCTCACTTTGGTGAGAGATTGATCCGTGTTCACTCCTCACTTTGGTGAGAGATTGATCCGTGTTCACTCCTCACTTTCGTGAGAGATTGATCCGTGTCCACTCCTCACTTTGGTGAGAGATTGATCCGTGTTCACACCTCACTTTGGTGAGAGATTGATCCGTGTTCACTCCTCACTTTCATGAGAGATTGATCCGTGTTCACTCCTCACTTTGGTGAGAGATTGATCCGTGTTCACTCCTCACTTTCGTGAGAGATTGATCCGTGTCCACACCTCACTTTCGTGAGAGATTGATCCGTGTTCACTCCTCACTTTGGTGAGAGATTGATCCGTGTTCACTCCTCACTTTGGTGAGAGATTGATCCGTGTTCACTCCTCACTTTGGTGAGAGATTGATCCGTGTTCACTCCTCACTTTGGTGAGAGATTGATCCGTGTTCACTCCTCACTTTGGTGAGAGATTGATCCGTGTTCACTCCTCACTTTGGTGAGAGATTGATCCGTGTTCACACCGCACTTTCGTGAGAGATTGATCCGTGTTCACACCTCACTTTGGTGAGAGATTGATCCGTGTTCACACCTCACTTTGGTGAGAGATTGATCCGAGTCCACGCCTCACTTTGGTGAGAGATTGATCCGTGTTCACTCCTCACTTTGGTGAGAGATTGATCCGTGTTCACTCCTCACTTTCATGAGAGATTGATCCGTGTCCACTCCTCACTTTGGTGAGAGATTGATCCGTGTTCACTCCTCACTTTGGTGAGAGATTGATCCGTGTTCACACCTCACTTTGGTGAGAGATTGATC